CAGATCCCAGCATAAGATCAAAAACCACTCACTTTACATCTAATAATGCTAAAAAATCCTATCCCATCAAAGATCTTATGTGCTGCAACACCAAAATAGTCATATAACCATTGGAGTGCCCATGCGGCCTCCAATATGTAGAAATGACCTCTAGGTGCCTAAAACAAGATTGGTTGAATACTGCTGTAATATTACTAAGGGTTATCACAACCATTCCGTGTCCAAACACTTTTTACAAAATAATAAAAACCCTAAACTTTTAAAATGTATACAAAAAGGTATACAAAAATGTAAAATTCCTTGGAGAGATGGTGAAATGTATTTTGTTTTCATTTTAAAAACTCTTATGCCAGATGGTCTTAATGTTGATTTTGATCTTTTTAATTTCTTATAACTACCTTTTTTTTACAATCATGTATGTATATCCTCTCCCTTTTATCAACTATAATAATGTGCTTTACCTATCTCTGATAAGTCTCTATGTGATACGTTTTCATTAATTATTTATATATATATATATATTAAGATATATATTACCTGTTAATATTAGGTATTTCCCTCTTATTTTATGATTTATACTACTGTTTTTATTATTCACATCCATTTACTTGCCAATATAGCGGTTTTTACATATTTTTATTAAAATTATGCTTCCCCCTTTAATTACAAAGTTCCATACATAGGGTTTCTTTAGTAAAGATTTCAAAAACATCGCTGCTACCATATGGAGTCTAAATGCTCCATATCCTCAATTTTTTCATAGGAGGATATTAATTACTAGCTCCCTGCCTCTTTTAGGAGGAGCTTCCCTTTGTCTTGTAGTTTGTGGATGCAACCAGACTCCTGCCGCCCTACATTTTCCATGTCGCATTGCATGCGGTCATGTGATATGGCCTGAAATGATCCAAAATGGCAGTGGTCACGTGACCTGCTATTTTCGTTATTTTTCTCACCTTTAGAAGCTTCTTTTTGCTTCCAAATTTTATACACTAGTCCCTACAACTGGTCTACTACCATTCAAGACCTTTTTTTAATCTTTGGTTTTTTTGAAATTATAATATCAATTATGACATCATTTAGACCTTCACTCCCTATATAAACCTAAGCCTGCCAGGTATGATTTTTCTACCTCCATTTAAGAAAGCCACTTTGGTGAAACACATTGTGGATATTTTAACTGTTTGTTTTACATTGTATTTTAATAATGGTATTTTGGCCTCTTTTCACTGTGAGTGTGCCATTTTACTTTTTTATTATTTTCTACCTGGCATTCAATTTTAAGTTCCAGTGAGGACTACTCCAAAATAATCCATGGTGGGGATTATACCACTTATGCCTACACATTGAGCAGTTAGTCTGCCCAATTAAATGTGAGTGCCAATTAATTATTTTATACCTGATACCTTTTAAACTGTGAGCACTATTGCTGTCTCTTTTATATCTTTTATGATCTTCATAACGATGATACAGCTGCCTACCTACACCATCTCACGTATCCTATAAGTGTGGATTGTACCACTGTACGCAATTCAAAATAAAGCTAGGTTAAGCTCTATCAATTTTGGTGTATTAGCGCTGATCCTTTTTTATTCTTTTGTCTATCAATCTAGTATTTTTTTGATTGCTTTTAATTTCACATCAGGCAGATGATTTTTTATGCATCCCACATATTATAAAAAGAAAGATCAGTAGTATAGTGCTCCTCCAGGATACTTCGTTGGACTGTCTGCAGGGGGTGCAAGAGAACAGAACTTTTCTACACACCCTATATTAGTTAGAGTGGTCAGATTTCATTGAATACCTGGATGTGTACTTATGTTACAGTTAGATAGTACTGATATGCTGTAAGCCCTGAGAACCAATAATCCTCAAAATTTTTATTTTTACATCCTGATGGCACTTTTGTGGGACTAGATCTAATACACACCACTAGTTTCTGTTAAATACTCGTTAGCAATAAATCTACACTACATGAAAAATGCATTTCTGTTTCTACACTAATATTTCTGACTGTGCCTGAAATATTAAAATATGAGGAATGTTTACAATCTCTAAGCATTGTATCCCCAAATTATTTTTGAAAAGGATGAACAAATACTTAAAAAAAAAATAACATTTACATAATTGTTATTCTGTTATATATCTCTGAACAGCAATCTATGCACAAAATAGCTTTTTTGTTCCAGATGTATGCATTAGCTGTACATGTTTCAAATCAAAGTTATGTTGGCAAAAGAACTAAGTAGTGAAGGGGATACTAGAAAAAAAAAATAAAGTTGCAAAATCACTCTTTTAGTTGGTGTCAGAATTTTGTTTTGTAATTTGTTTGCATATTGCACAATGCTCAGTAAATTTATGATTTGCAGGAATTGCAAGCAGAAAGAGCTACATATCGACAGTGCAGGTATAACAATTGCCATAAAACAGAATTGGGTAATTGGGTATGATTTACAGATGTTGAAGCAAGGAAGGAATTTGCTTCTCAAGAAGGTGATGACCTACACTGGATCAGATGTGAAGGTAAATAGGATTTATTGTAAAATATTTATTTTTATATTGCAAGGCAAAGCATAAATGAAAACTGCCATAAAGCTGAAAAGTGTGTATCGGAAAGAGGTGACGTTATTTACAGTCCTTTTGAAAAAGGATTAAATTGGCTTCTCAGTCGGGTGTAACGATAATATTTATTGCAATGTATTATATTTTGCATTGAAGTGCAAAGAGGATATACATACTTGACTAAGTGGGTGGCACTATGTAGCATGTTGAGAGCATGAGACAGTTTAAATGTTAAATACATGTAACTATATGGGAGCTCGCGAGAGAGACAAGGTAAGTATGTGAAAAGTCATACTCAGTCATACTTTTTCCTAGCTTGTTGCAAAATTGTGCTTCAAACTGGGTTTTTTGCCTTCTTTTGGATCAATAGCAAAAAAGAAATGTGAGGAAGGCTGAACTTGATGGACGGAAGTCTCTTTTCAGCTATGTAACTATGTAAAAAGTGCGTTGGGTGGACGATTGTAAAGAGAATAAACAAGAATCGCAGATAGAGTAAATCAGCATACACCCTCACCCTCTCCTTAGCTAACCTATATATGTGTACGTGTGTGCATACAGGTTGTTGGTAATGGAAGGGTTAATGTGTTTCTTGAATAACATTATTATTATTATTTCAATGTATAAATGTACAGAATGGATTGTAATATGGTGTGGAGCTTTTTGTTTTCAAATCCAATCTTTTGTTTATACTTTTGTTTTTTACTGTGTGATCTTATGTTACTGAGAGTTTATGTTATCTTGTTAGTTCTCATTATTTGATACAGTATAATAAAAAAACAGGTAGTGAACTTGAAAATGCTTTTGAGAAATGCCAAGTGTTACACGGATAACAGTACTCAAGGATGAAGGATCTACATGGTCCACAAACTCATTAGCATTTTCAATAAAGACCATTAGCCAAGCATCAAGCTTAATTTAAATCAATGAAAATCAGGAATGCTTGTGGCCAATGTGTAGCAGACTGTCAGTGAAAGGAGTATATTTGCTGGAATAGACAAATTAAAGAGAAGCTATTATTGATTTTGTTTGTCTGTGTCATTTGTACCACACAGTTTCATTGTAAACGTGGTCATTTTTTGTAATTCCAATCCATAGAATTTTTTTTTGCTTGGAATACTGTAATACCCAAATATTCCGGAAAAGCTCAATATGAGATGGAACTGATAGGGGCAATTCTTTGTTTTATATTGGCCTATCCAGGTCAGTAAATATCTGAATACACAAACTCCACATGCAGATCAAATTAGGGATCTTGAGTGTCCCTTTATCTATCTTAATGGCCAATAATATTTAAAGGGATAAAACACACACATAAAGCACTTCCATATATGTATGTATGATTGGCAAGTATATAACTAATGTCAATCAGACAACTGTGGAGCTTTTCTTACAAATACATGAATTACAGTATATGAGATCAGTTTCTGAACCAAAATATTATTGTTAATTATTTAAAAATAATTAGCTTTTTATTAGGTAGTCTGCGTGTCAGGTGCACAATCATGGATCACTTAATGTTAACAAAACAATAGTATCGCTCTGAAATACAGAAGTATGCAAAATAATACACAATGAAGTCACCTTATCCGGCATGTGCCTGTGCAAAGTGCTTTGAGACATATGGGGTTAACTATACTGAAAAAGACACATCTATATTTTACAGCTTAACACATATTCAATGCATACATTTGCTTTAAAATATTAATAATAATAAATAAATAAATATATATTTATAATAGAGTAATAAAAAAAATCTATTATTATATATTGCATGATTTAAAAAGTATTGGTATTAATATTGCTTTTTTCCCCCTAATACTGTAACCTAGATATACATAATTAAATTTCATGCAATCCAGGGAATAATCTAACGGAACATTTCTCCCTGACACATCACAAAATAAGCAGACTGAAGGAAATTAGAATGGAAGATTCAGGTATATTAATCCTTTCTACAGAGCTGCATCGTTTAGAAGAGGACGCATGCAGCATGTCCTGGGAGATACAACATAGCCCCTGCTTGCTTGCTTGCTACACTATTTTGATCTGCTTCCTTGCATCTTAAATTTCCGAGTGGGTTCTCAGGAGATCATGTGAGCCTGGGCTGTGTATTTAAACGCCTTCTCTGTAACAGAGCTGCCACAGTGTGTAAGCCTAGCAGCTGGCTAGTGTAATATGTAGTTACTTTCCTGTACTAAGCTGATTTACTTGTTTAAGGGCTGACCTCATCGTGCTGTCAGTATGGGATCCCACCTCCATAGTTAGCAGTAGCTGAGCATGGACTGGGGATGTATGCAGCATGCTACAGACTCAGTGGCAAATGTTATTATAGAAGAACAGGCAAACTGGAATTAGAAAAGAACTGTCAGCAGTAGAAGGATCTTAGCATCACTGAGAATATAGAGAAATACTTTTTTTTTTTTTTTTTGGTTCAAGCAAACATGTCAGTTTCTGGAAAGAAAGAATTTGATGTGAAGCAGATCTTAAGACTGCGATGGAGGTGGTTCAGCCACCCCACACAAGGAACACCAGGATCTGGTGGCTGTCTGCAGCAGGAAGGATATGAGCACAGAGGGACGCCGGTTCACAGTAGGTTGAAAAGCCATTCACGGGACAGGAATGGGATAAAGAAAAACAGCAGCCCTGTCCATAACATACTGGCACCAGTGCCAGGTCCAACCCCTGCACACCATCGATCTATTCAATCCTGGCACCAGCAAAACATCATAGTACATTTACAAGCAAGTCAGGATATTCCAAAGTCCAGCACTGAGGAGAAATTGGGGAAAGAAGAAGAAAGCACCAGCACAGAAGAGGTTAACACAGTCCAAGAGGAGAACCCAGAGGCAGCTACAGACAGGTAGGACTCGGAAGACTGAGTTCCTGTGGAGTTCTATGAATGGAACGTTCAGTTCAGTTTGTTTATGTCTTACATTGTATATAATAATAAACAAAGTCATTCTCTTATCTGTTTCAATGCATGCTTAGTCAAACTTTATGAATTGGGTACCTTGGTAAAAAAACAAGAAACAATGATCGATTTGCATTTAGGGGTGCTGTGTGGAGTGTTAGCTGCTCATACCCCATAGTAAATCCCCCACTATTTGGCTGTTTGTGATAAGATTTGCCCAGAGAACCTTTTTCAAACAAAGGAAGAAGATGGAGGATAAGCAGTGTTTAGCAAGCTTTCATTTCAGTGCATGTTTTCCTGTGCCTGTGAAATTAACCTTGAACCATGTGAAAAAATGGGAGAACTTTAAACTTGGCTGTTAGAATGATTTATCTGGAAGCACATTCATTTGGTAGCTGGTCTGCATTTTGAAGAGCCCAGCTAATAAAAACACAGTCTGCCAGTGCTGCTATCTCGATGCAGATATTTGTCAGACAATTTATAATCTACAGGGCACTGAGAAATAGGGGGAATATTGAACCCAACTGGCCAGAGTGTAAAGCAGCAGGTTAATAATGTGTGTGGTGGGTCACACCGCTAGATTAAAGCATCTCTACAGTCTGAGATTGGACTTTCAAGTATTTCACATAAAAAATAAAAAAATAAAAATAATAATAATAATATATATATATATATATATATATATATATATATATATATATATATATATATATATATATATATATATATATATATATATATAGGATTGTAATAATGGAGAAAGAAGTATATATATATATATATATATATATATATATATATATGCACACACACAAATATACACAATCTCACACACCATTTTTACATCATCTGCTTCTTATTTTACTGAATCCCATATTGCAAATATGGGGACCTCACTACTGTACAGGTAATATTACGTGCAGTTTGGGTTCCCCAATTTCAGATAGACCTGAGACATACCCAGCTAGTCCAAGATTAGTGTGAGTTACACTCCCCAACAAAACCTTCCAACATGGCAAATAAAATAGATACTGCCTGGGACTTCCACTAAAGCCTAACTTACACTAATCTCAGACAGCACTGGGTAATTAGTGTCCCATTGCTGTCCATGCAATAAACTCGCCCCCTTAACTTCTACATTACATTAAAAAAACCACACAACACTAAATACATTAACCCCTACACTAAATACATTAACCCTACACTACACTAAATACAGTAACACTAAACATTAAACCCTACACTCCAGTAAGACCATCACTTAACAATAATCCTACACTAACCTAAATACAGTGACACTAAACAATCCCTATACTACAGTAAGACCATCACTTAACATTAACCCTATACTACACACAATAGTAACCACTGAACTAGAGCATCACTAGACAATAACCCTAAACTACACTAAATACAGTAACACTAAACTTTAATCCCTGCACTACAGTAAGAACATCAGTTAACATTAACCCTACACTACACCAACACACAACACTAAACATTAACCCTACACTACATTAAATACAGTAACCCTAAACATTAACCCTACACTACATTAAATACATTAACACTAAACATTAATTCCTACACTAAATACAGTAACACTAAACATTAACCCTACACTACACCAATACACAACACTAAACATTAACCCTACACTACACTAAATACAGTAACACTAAACATTAATTCCTACACTACACTAAATTCAGTAACACTAAACATTAATTCCTACACTACACTAAATACAGTAACACTAAATATTAACCCTACATTACATTAAATACAGTAACACAAAACATTAACCCTACACTACGTTAAATACAGTAACACAAAACATTAACCCTACACTACATTAAATACAGTAACACTAAACATTAATTCCTACCCTACACTAAATACAGAAACACAAAACATTAACTCTACACTACGTTAAATACAGTAACACTAAACATTAACCCTACACTACACCAATACACAACACTAAACATTAACCATACACTACACTAAATACAGTAACACTAAACATTAATTCCTACACTACATTAAATACAGTAACACTAAACATTAATTCCTACACTGCACTAAATACAGTAATACTAAACATTAACCTACACTACATTAAATACAGTAACACAAAACATTAACCCTACACTGCATTAAATACAGTAACACTAAACATTAATTCCTACACTACACTAAATACAGTAACACTAAACATTAACCCTACACTACGTTAAATACAGTAACACTAAACATTAACCCTACACTACACTAAATACAGCAACACTAAACATTAACTCTACACAAAATACAGTCACACTAAACATTGACCCTACACTACATTAAATACAGTAACGCTAAACATTGACGCTATACTAAATACAGTAACACTAAACATTAACCCTACACTACATTAAATACAGTAACACTAAACATCAACCCTACAGTACATTAAATACAGTACCACTGAACATTAACCCTTCACTACATTAATCCCAACACTACAGTAAGACCATCACTGTACATTACATTACACCAACACACAACACTAAAATTTAACCTTACACTAAATATAATTACCCCTATATTTATCCATGAACTACAAAGTTCATGACTAGACTAGACAATAACTCTAAACTACACTAAATACAGTAACGCTAAACATTACATTCTACAGTACAGTAAGACCATCACTTAACAATAACCCTATACTACACTAAATATCAACTCCTGAACTAGAATATCTCTAGACAATAACCCTACACTAAATAGAGTAACACTAAATATTAAACTCTACACTACAGTAAAACCATCACTACACTAAATATTAACGCCTGAACTACAGTATCATTAGACAATAACCACACAGTAACACTAAACAATAAACCCTACACTACAGTAAGACCATCACTACACTAAATATAACCCATGAACTGCAGTAACACTAGACATTAAATATTGCACTACAGATTATCTCTTAAAGGGACACCGTAGGCACTGTATCTGCTTCATCTCATTAAACTGGTTATAGTGTCTGGAGTCCCCTGGTACCATAATTTCTTTCAGCATTAAACAGTTTTTAATGTTTTTATGTTTTAATGCTAAACAATAGTCCCCGGCAGTCCATCCCATCTGTACAGCTTTGGCTAATAAGGAAGTATTAGCCTGAGCAGCAATGGACAGCTGTGATTGGTTGAGAGTGTCAGGTGACTGCTTTCAGCCTGTCAGAGCTCCAACTGACGGTATGAATGGGTATGATAACAAGGAAGTGTGTAATCTCTGCCTTAGCTACACATACAGAAGGGGCTGGACTGTAGGTGGCCAGGGACTCGACTCTTATGTTGTGGCATACTGCACGAACATGGTGCAACACTGAGTGGAGGGACAGTGCCAGGGCACTCCAGGCACTATAACCAATTCAAAGAGATGAAATGGTTATAGTGACTACAGTGTCCCTTTAACATAACCCTAAACTATATGCTTTAAACTCTGCACCAAACAAAAATCCCTATATTACACTATACATTAACACATACACAGTATTAACAGTCACTTAATAAACAGTCATTTAATATAAAAGATACATAACAGCAGACTGTGTATAAAGGAAATAATACAATCTCAGGGTTTTGGAGACATTCATAAACCACTTGACCTTCGGTCTTCACACACACACATACAACAAACACCTATGTGCATACATATATTACATGCATTGTATATACTAAACTTGTAATTAAGCATTTCTTTGCTGCTGCATGTCAGTTTTATTTTTAATATTCACTGAAGTAATATTCACTGTAATATTCATATTAGTTCAAATTCCTAAATATTTCAAGCCTATTTTGACATTTAAATAATTCATGTATTTTCTCAGTGATTTGGCTTTGAGTGCTGGGAGTTATTATCTGTCATGGATGCAGTCCTGCTAAATTGAGGAAAGCAATAGTAATTACAGTTTTTCAGCATAATAAGTAGTGATATATTTTAAGGTTAGTATTTAATAAGAGCATGTTTTTCATTCTCTATTCTGTAACCTTATTTAGGCATGGTCCTCGTCTACCTATTGTTCCTGTAACATTTTGTAATTGTCTCATTTATTGTTAACTTTCCCCCTTTTTATAATATTGTAAAGTGCTGCGGAATAAGTTGGCACTATATAAATGTCAATAGTAGTAATAATAATAATAATAATATAACAAGGGGAAATGATTATATACACTATATATATATATATATATATATATATATATATTGATCTGGAAAAAAGGTAACGCATCACAGCTAATATAGATATTAGCTGTGATGTGTTACCTTTTTTCCAGATCATTAACAGCCAGCACTTAGCACCACAGCTCTTGTGGACTACAATTCACATTAATCTCAGGAATTTGTCTGAGAGTGACCAGAGTTGTTTTCCATCATGGCTGTAGCACTGATGGGTCAAGTAAGGTAATGGGAGTTTCACTTTTCAACTTCTATGTCAGAATGATTTCTTCGTAATGAATGTTAAGGGTAGCATAAAATGTGAGCTGACTCGGCTAAACTTAGTTGGTATTCATCACAAAACAAATGTATTGAAATTGCTCTACTATTAAACAAAATTACACAGATTCCAACATTTTCGAATTAATCAGAGGTAAATAGCTTGTTGTATAGTGTATTGCACTATGCACTCCATAATCTTAAAGTTCAATCACTTTACACATACTAGTACTAATGGATATTGCTCATAGGTGAAAACAAAAAATGGAATGCTCATAGTAATGGGAGTGAATAAGTGCCCATATTCTTCATTGACTCACCTGAGAGTATTTACCTGTGTGAAAATAGCCCAGAACATTTTTTTGGGGCAAGGGATGTGTTTGTGGGAAGGTTTTCCCAGGAACTTACTTCTATATAAAAGTGTACAAATAAAAAAATATTTATTAATATAACACAATACTGTTATTGACGTGATGTAAAAGGTTATTGTCAGTATTTGACTATTGCAAATTGCAGCCACTATAGCTGAATTAGAAAAAAATTCCATCTAAATTATTTTTAGAATTTTGACCATTTTGTTTTTATCATTTTCACGTTCATGACCATTTCCGAAGTATTCCCAGTTTAGTGAATAACTATGCTTGAACTAATAATAGTGATATTTCAATGCATAAAATGGAATATTTACAAGAAGCATTGAAACATACTTTTTGAAGTAGTCCATGCAATTGTATAATAGAATGAACAATGACAGGACACAGGAAAACTAAAAACACAGGAAGCTGAGAGAGTCCATAAACTCAGCATTGATGCATCGCTGCTGCTAGAACTGATAACATAATGGTAGCCTGTCTCTTCTGTCTGATCTTGACACATTCCCTCTCAACCTTGTGCAAAACAAAATTTTGTCTACTAAGCTCAATTTACATTTCCTGATTCAGTGTTTGACCTCTGTGGGGGAAGACATATATATATATAGAGGGTACTTTCTGTCCCTATAGCAGAAGAAATAAAATTTATTTAAAAATCTGCATAATTACTTAAGAACTTGTGTGGCTCAGATAATGGCATTGGTTTAATATTCTTGGATTAGCTTTTCAAATGCCTTAATAGTTTTGAACAAACTATTAAAATGATATAAAATTTGGAAAAATATCTAAATATTTTGATATTTTTATTATGTATTTGTTTTATATATGATATATTTTAGATTTTTTTTAATTTTGAAAAAAATAAATTAAATACATTAAACTTAATTAAAAAAGATAAAATACATTTTGAAAAAAATAAATTAAAAAGCTTATTCAAAAATATTAAATCATTTGAAAAGCTTATCCAAAAATTTTAAATCAATTCCAATTGAATTAATATTTTTGGATAAGCTTTTCAAATTATTTTTTTTCAAACCAAAATGCCTACCTCCTCCCTGTTGCAGTTATGTGCCATAGATGTTAACCATATTTTTTTATATATATAAAATAAGAAAAAATATACTGAAGGGGTTAATGACATTTTCAGGCACGTAACTTCCTATTGTCTAATATAAATACATATATATATATATATATATATATATATATATATATATATATATATATATATATATATATATATATGTATATTGTGTGTGTATGTATGTATGAATGATGTTTTGTGTAGTCCACCTATTCGGATCAGGAAGCAACGGTCTACCACAGTGTTTCCCAACCCAGTCCTCAAGGCACACCTACCAGTCCAGGATTTAGGGATTACCCAGTTGTGTCTAAGGTGTTTTTACAAAGAAGAAAAAAAACACCTTAGACACAACTGGGTAATCCCTAAATCCTGGACTGGTAGGTGTGCCTTGAGGACTGGGTTGGGAAACACTGGTCTACCACACCAGACAGGACCCAAGGTGCAGACAGTGCAAAGAGGCCTTGGATCAATCCAGCAGCCAGGTGCAATATGTTAGCAAGGACAGCATACACTGAGAGGCATAACAAAGTTACTGGGATTGTGTACCAAAATATCTGCACAGAATATGGGCTGGACCTGCCTGTTCACCAAGTAGTTGAGAATGACAGGGCTAAAATCATGTGGGACTTTCAGGTCCAGACAGACCTGACATGGTGGTGGTAGACAAGGAACAGGTAACTGAAGTGGTGGATGTGGCAATACCGGTGACTATAACACCAGGAGATAAAAAATCCTAAATTAAAGAGGATTTGCAATAAAGGAAGTGTAAGCATTAAATCTAACTTTCCAGGAAGCATTTAGGAAGACTGTACATGTTAGGGGCATGATCTATACACCAATACTGCTTCATTAAGCTAAAGATGTTTTGGTGACTATAGTGTCTGCCTAGTGTCCTTCGGCAGTGATAAGCTTATCCAAGCTTATTGCACAGTAGTACGTTATGGGCACAGCAGGGTATTCTGTATCTTGCAGTTTTGTTGCCAGCTTTCTACTATAGAAAACCAAGGAAACAAAATTACAACTCCCAGAAATCTTTACTGTGCAAAATTGTACAGTTTTATTATTAAAGCAAAAAAAGGAAAATGCAGATTAAGAGGAATACAGTGTAGACTTGTAAGCTTGTTTAAGCAGGGTCCTCTTCAACCTATTGTTCCTGTAAGTTTTCTTGTAATTGTTCTATTTATAGTTAAATCCCACCTCTCATAATATTGTAAAGTGCTACGGAATTTGTTGGCGCTATATAAATGGCAATAATAATAATAACAATAATAATAATAATAATAAAAAAACAAGCATAAAGCTAAGAATACTTGTAATAAAAATACTTACCGTGTAATATAATAAAAATTTCCATAGATTTTAATGGTGACTTTTGTATATAAATCACTTGGAAACTTTTCTAACGGTATAGAATCATTTGGAAAGCTTATAAAATCAAGGCCCATATGTTGGTTATTGAATTGTACTTTGAATCATATTCCAAAACCATGGTCAAAATAGCTAAGTCTGAAAATCATCTAGATTGTATTTTTTTTTCTCACAGCTGCATTATCGTATATTTTGGATTTTTTCCAATTTTTCACAGTTAATTATGTAGTACTTAACTGGCATAGTGCATCTCTTCTCGGACATCTGTGTTTCGTTTTAGACAAACAAATTATACGGAAAAGAGTGTGTTATAAATATGTATTTATGGGGAATTTAGGTTCCCAAAAATCTATCAGAACAAAGACTAGTATGGCTATGATTGGTGATAATATTAACATACAGTAAGTAGAGTTGCTTATTCGAAACCATATTGCAAACAACATTGCAAATTGCATTTAAGCATTAATCTGTACTCACAGCTCCTTTTCCAATTTTAACCCCATTATTGTTGTGGTATGAGACCTCTGCACACATTGGTTTAGCCTGTTTCTGTGCTTTTTGGGAGAGCGAGGCTCAGATCAACATAGGGGCCATTGGAGCTCCAGCTCCAGGCCCACACATTGCAATAGACCAGAGTCATCTGACTTTTTTTTACATTTTTATTCATATATGTTTGTGATCCGATACTGCTTTGAAATGCTCAGTGTCATGTTCATAGCATGTATCCAGGGAGGGAGGTATATCTTCAATGGCTTGACTGAGCAGCATAGGAAACCCTGTCCATAACAAAGTAATTGTCAAAGGTAGATCTGGCACTGTATGTACATATTTACATAGCAATATAGGCTGAAAACAATCCATAAAGTACACCCTTCCGGTCAGCTCCCCTGTCAGCTCCACTGTAAGTCTTGCGGTGTGAGTGCCGCATGGAGCGTTGCCACGGTAATCCGTGGCAACGTTCTGACCCTGCGGCTCTCGCGAGACAGTGGAGCTGACAGGGGAGCTGACCGGACCAGAGGAGAAAGAAGGGAGCTGACAGGAGCTGCAGGAAAGGTAAGTTACAGCTCTCTGCCAGCCCCAAACAGGACCACCAGGCTTATAATGAGCCCGGCGGTCCTGGTCTGTATTATGGCAATGTAAATTGCCATAATACAGACATTAACTCGAGTATAAGTCGAGTAGGGGTTTTTCAGCACAAAAAATGTGCTGAAAAACTCGACTTATACTCGAGTATATACGGTAAGTTAAATTGACATGACCAGTCTCTCATAAAACCATGTTGATTACTACTTATGATGTTGTAAACAATGAAGTCCTGAGTTTGATGCCTTACATTTTTCTACAACCGTTCAAATAGTTTTCCAAAAATTGTTTTCCAACCACAGATGTTAAAACACACAGGTCTGTAATTACTGGACAGAAATTGTTCCCACTACATTTGCTTTTTTCCAATCTTTTGGTATTACTACTGAGAGAAATGAATTCTGACAGATGATAAACAATGATTTGGATATTACCACACTTAGCTCCTTATGTACTTGTGGGTGAATGCCATCTAGCCCTGGGATGTTGCTTGCATTAAAGGACCACTATAGGCACCCAGACCACTTCAGCTTAATGAAGTGGTCTGGGTGCCTGGTCCATCTAGGAGTAACCCTTTCTGCTGTAAACATAGCATTTTCAGAGAATCTGCTATATTTACCTTAGGGTTAATCCAGCCTCTAGTGGCTGTCTCATTGACAGCCGCTAGAGGCGCTTCCGCACTTCTCACTATGATTTTCACAGTGAGAAGACGCTTGCGTCCATAGGAAAGCATTGAGAATGTGCATTCAGCTGATGACGGGGAAAGGAGGTGGAGAGTCCCCACCGCCGAGGGAGCCCGGCGGGAGGGGGGCCCTAAGGGTGAGGGGGACCTAGAGACCCTATAGTGCCAGGAAAACAAGTATGTTTTCTTGGCACTATAGGGGTCCTTTAACTTTATTTAACTGCAGTAGCAATTTCTCCTGTGTCAAACAATCATATATTTTCTCTATGTTTTAGTACTAGTGATTTATATATCATCTGCTCTTGGTTCTTCTTTGTTATGTGCTAAAGAAAAATATATATACTCAAAATGTCTGCTGTTTGATTATTAGTATTATTATTACAGGCATTTGTAAAGCATTAATATATTCCACAGCACAGAACAATTGGGGAAAAGACAGTACAACATACACAGACCAATACATGAGGGCATGATCTCATGATCTTCTAAAGACCAGATGCTAGAATTTCAAATTCATAATTTGTAATTGGACCCCCACTAATTCTCAGCTCCAGAATGATGAAGACCCTCAGTCAGCACTGTGTGTGAGGGAATGCTTGATTTAATTTGCAGTTATCTCTTTAAATGTTGCCCCTCCTTGCTTCTGATATATGTATCTACTTTGTGACATTGTATTAAAAAATAAGACCAGACGAACTGAGGACTAAAATTAGTCACAATCAAAACACATTATTAAGATGTATATGTTTACACATTATGAAAATATTAAAAACAGAGCAGAAACATACTTTTTTGGAGATAAATATAAATGTGATTGCCTGAAGAGAGGAAATGTTCTAAATTCATATATTATATATTTGGAGTTTGGGTGATTTGATGGTGAATAGATATGATGTGGTGTTCAATAGGATTATGTTTTCTTTTCTGCATCTGTCCCCGTTAAAAATATTGGGACTTTAGCACCAATGTAACAAACATTAGTTAACAGTTTGAAACAAAGCCACAAGAATTCAGACTTTTTTTGTAAATTTGTATTTTTGCTGGTGCATTAAAACAACGTTATAAGTAAAATACCTTTATGCATACACATATGAGGTGTAATTGCAAGGTGTCATGATGTTAGTATTTTAAAATTTTTGTCTGTAGTAGACATAGACTGATGAGTAGGTGATGTAAAAAAAAAAACCTCGACTATAGAAAACCCGCTTGTCCTACACATATTGAGTAGCTAAAACCTGGCATATGCATATAAAAAGCTGGTCAGACATATTTTTTTAGTTTGTTTGAGGGACATGAGAACACTAGCTACAAAGAGCAAACACTGAGAAGAAGTTACTGGACCTTCTCCTGTAAGTCAACCAGAAAACATTACATTGCGCGGTGGGAGATGTGTGAATACAGTGATGGGTCATTCGAAAGAGACAAACAAGGATATGCTGATATAGTGACAGGACATTAGGTCGATACTGATAAAGACATGTTGCAAAGGTTGAATGATGTTAGGAAAAGGCAGCATTTGTTATGGCATACATACTACATAAGAGGGAAACAGCTGGAAAAAGGGATTTTAGGGTGAGAGACATTAAAAATATTTGGTTTGACAGTTGTGTATGCTGATCACAATATAGTATCATGTAATTATCAGCAATTGCCGTACAAAGTCTATGTCAATGTTCCATACGACCGAGCCAAAATGAACACATCACCTGTAATAACATTTTGGAAATACTACCAGGTTCACACAATACTAAGCATCAAAATGTAATAGGAATTCCACAGCATTATCAAGAAGACCACAAAGAATACAATTTAAAAATATAATGCCAATTGCTCTGCCCCCAAAAAATAAAACATTGGAATGTATCTGCTTGGGTTTAACAGAAAATAGTCTGCAGACACGTTTTTAATCTGTGGTAGATTCACAACATGCCTAAATGGATTAGATGCTTAACGGACTGGCTTATTTCAGAGATGTTAGAAAACTCTACATCTTTATTTTGTAGATTTAGATTACATATAAATATAGACAGTAACTTTAAATTTGTAAAATAGCCATTCTTTGAAACTTTTTTACAATATTTTTTGACTGTATTAATTGTAAATGAATGCTAACATTATATGAACTATAAAAAAGCACAACCTCTGTCAAAATGCTGTGTATTAATAGAAAGATAAAAGATAGTTGTTCGGAAAAAAGAGCACAAGGGAGGTGGAAGGGGACAATAACAGGAAAGGAGTTCAGAAGCTTTAGACTGTTTTAGAGAGAAAGGTCCACAAGGGAAAACATTGTGCTTAGTTTTAATAACAAAACAAACAAAAAAAAAGGTAAATGGTTCACGTTATCTCATCTGACATATAATTAAAGCAGAAATACAATTGTCGCAGTTAAAATCATGAGGGAAATTTACTAAATCATCTACAAACATTGTCATCTAAAATCATCTTTGGACTTCATCCAAATGTAGCCCCAGCCATTGCTTAGCACTTATCACATTGACACCAATTTGTCTCTTTAATCACATTTATTTATTTATTTATTTATATGTTCATTACTTAGTTAGTGCCTCTAATTTTTGCAGGGGTCCTAGTTATAAGTTCCCTTAATGTCACTTGGCAGCTGGCAGGTTCACTATTAACGACTGTAAAAGCCAATCACGATAAAAAGTGAATTAAAGAGAGAAAGAAAATGGAATAGTCCTTACACAGAGAGTTGATGCATATTTTTTATTTTACAACAAACAATACCAAGTAACAGGGTGTTTCGTCCTGAAGAAGTTGGACAACCGACGAAACGCGTCGAGCCAGCTATAGATGACCCTGTACTTTGGTACCAGCAGTTTGATCTTTGTATGCATTTGGCAATTTGGGATTTTGCACTTTGTTTCTGCAATTGGGAAGGCTATTTACTAGTGAACTCCATTGCCCTATTCCCACCCCTATTTGGGAGATATATCATCTATTATTTCAAATGGACGTTGTGAAGGGATAGTGTATGTTAGTGGCTATGTATAGTAATTTATCCTTACTTCCCTTTACTTATTGTTTTGCAGTGTGCACTTTATATTGTATTTCCAGCTGCTGACCAAAGGCCATTTTTTATCGGTTAGTATTGTGTTATATATATTTTTTAATGATATTTTTTATGATATTTGAATAAATTGATAAACTTTTACTATACTGATCTCTTATTCTAGCTATAATTTGTCTCCTCCTAAGTCCATTGGAGACAAGCTGGTAAAGACAAGTGATTGTGGCGCCCTGTTACTTGGTATTGTTTGTTGTGATTTGAAGTTGGGAGTAACTTTATTACAGAGGCTTGCCGGCACGTTATTTTTACTTCTTCCCCCACTCACCTGGCCTTTGTTCGTCTATATTTCGTCTATATTTTTTATTTTAACCCTAACTTTTATTGTATTTCATACAGATCATCTTCTACCAGTAGAGCAAACTGAGAGCATAAAATTCAATTTTAATAGAAATTTAAGATGTTTATTTGGCTAAACATTTTATTTTGATTACAACAGTAATACGTAACTTTGGGCAGCACTGAAACCTAGGTTACCATGATTTTTTCAGTGGGTCTACAAGGATTGCAACAGTTACACTAGATTTAAGCCCTAGACCATGGAACAAATTAAACTACCGAATCCTGTGAAGATCCCTCTGATAATGTGATAAATCTAATGAAAGTGTTTTATTCAATTTATTTTAGTTGTTGATTGATTACAACTGATAAAATGGGTCACTGCACTTTTTTAAAATTGAAGAATAGGTCACCCCGCTAATCTCATCCATAATTCGAGTCCCTACAGGAAAATATTTAGGCTTCCTGGTTTACATTTCTAAAATGGTTTCCTATATAGCAATATCCAAACTTCCTCTTAAACTTTTACATGGATGTAAAAAAATAAAAATAAAAAAATAAAAAAGATTTATCATTATCAATGGGCAGGAAAATTTGTTTTTTTTCCCTCAGAATAATTTTGTGATTCTTACTTTCTGTACTTACTTTCTTACAAATATCTGTATAAAAATATTAATGTAAAATAAATATGTAAAGTATGGGCATCTTGGAGATAGAAAAAAGTATTACAGTGAAAAGCTCTTTTTTTAAATGTATTTTTGATGTTTCTTCCAACATGTGCATAGACTTATTTACTAAACATTGACTTTTATAATATTAAATCCAAATAAAATAATTGATAATTCTCCAGCTCGGTTATAGCAACATTTGCTAAAATTATATTAAATAACCCTGACAGTATTCCACTTAGAGATTTATATATGTGGTAAGTCCATCTTTATAATGGGTAGTCAAAAATATTTTCTTGTCAAAACAAGTAAAAGCCTCCAATAGGAGGGAGCATGTAAAATCTAAAGAGCTTAAAGTAACAATTGTAAAAGCTCTAAACACACATTTGAGAACACCCTGCTCCCACACACCACACTTAAAACACTGAATAATAGTGGTACAAGTGATAAATACAAAGGCAAAAGGTATTCCCTATATGCTCTGAGACACACAATTCCTAAGGTTAAAGTGTTCCCTTAAGAAAAAAACCAAAAGGAAAAAAATGTGTGTATAAATCACCACAAGTGATAACAATATACTACAACCTGTTCAGTAATCGGTGGAAACCAGCCATAAACACTGTATGTCTGGGGGAACAAAATAAAAATATAGTGCAATACAATAAGCACAAATGAAGGTTTTAGGGGTGGTAGAGAACTCACTAGAAAGTAGTAAATTTAGGCATGTCTCCCTCAATAATGGGGTTATGGCATAGATAGGAGGAATCTTCCAAACACCGCAATCTTGGTATAGATGTATCTTCTTAGAAGGAAATTGTCAGTTGTGTGGAAGGAAGTTATACATCCCTGAGGAAGTTAAGAAGAGGCCAAACGCGTTGGACTTTCACTTTTATCTGCTGATATTATATCTGTTTATTTTTATTTGCTTTTACTTTGTACCTGTGGTCCTGGAATTTTTCCTGCTGCCCATTGGAGACCTGGACACCACATTGTTATGGAAATATGCTGTTTGTCACCTGACAATGTCCTTCTAAGAAGATACATCTATACCAAGATTGCAGTGTTTGGAAGATTCGTCCTATCCATGCCATATCCCAATTATTGAGGGAGACATGCCTGAATTTACTACTTTCTAGTGAGTTCTCTACCACCCCTAAACCCCTCATTTGTGCTTATTGTATTGCACTATATATTTTTTGTTCCCCCAGACATACAGTGTTTATAGTAGTTTCCATCCATTACTGAACAGGTCATACTATTTTGTTATCACTTGTGGTGATTTATACACACATTTTTTCTTTTTGGTTTTTTTCTTTGTATCTTTTGTACAAGTGATAAAACCTATACCTTTTAGTGGAGCACCAAATGGAAAACAACCAGAGTTACTTACCCTTTAAATACTGGTATAAGTAGGGATATACACAAATTATGTAAAAACTAAAAGAAAAAAACATATATAGTGTAGACGGTAACTACCGAATGTGGGGTATATAGGTAATAATTTGATCCACTCATATGTGCTGGAGTCTAAATATATTGACTCTGTAAATAGCTCCTCTATTCTTTTAGGTCAGCATCACACGTCCTGCGAACTGATGTAGAACTAAAAAAAACAAAAAAGAGAAAGGGAGAGAGAAGACCAGTGTTTAGTGTAAATGGACATCACCTCTTTCTTGAGATAAAAAGGTATATACACTATTATTTAAAAGTATTTTATTCCCTGAAATCAAACATGTAAATTATGATTTCTCCACCCCACAGTCCTGAGATATATTAATTCTGAAGCACTAAATGATATCACATCTCCCAACATTTAATAAGAGACACGTTTATTTTATGGGTGTGAGTGCGGTATGGCCAGGGGCGGGACTGTAATAACAATCTAAGCAGCTAAAATGGATTTTAGAACAAGTATATTGTGTCTTATTTAAACAGATTGATTTTCCTTAACACATATTGCATATTAAAGATTGTGAGTATTATTGCTGGCATAATTCAGACACACTAAGAATACTGAACTTTTAAACAAAAGAGATATTAGGATAGAAAAGAGGGACTTATAAAGCTCATTTAGCTGCCTGGTTATGTTTCTTGTATTTCCTGGCATATGTTTACGTTGAGATATGTTATACAATATGTTGTATATTCATTTTTTGTTCTTATTTTATATTAAAATGGATACTAGTGCGGTTTATTATCGAACACATGTATGTGACATTGCAACTTTTATTCTGTACTGTGGTGTCCTATTCTTAAAGTCAAGAATTAAAGAAAAAAAAAAAGAAAGAAAAATAAGAGGAACATTGGGATTTGGACCCAAAATTGGGACCATCAGTTCTAAATAAGTAAACTTGGCAGGTATGTAAAGATACACTTGTGTCTTAATTGTGTATGATGTCATTAACATTCTGGAGAAAAAAAAATTCTGATATAATACCGCAGGCATACTTGGAGCATAGTAAAGAATGTCATCTGTTTTATGCCTGCACATGACATAAATTATGACATGCACTTATTCATCAGACCATTATCCATCAAGTATTTTCCCCTTTTTGTCCAGTAACTGGTGTGGGACATGTCATGCAGCGTTATGGCATATTGATAGAGCACATAGCATGCAGCAACTTTGACTATATTTGAATTAATGCACAGATTGATATGAAATTTTATGTTGCTATTTAAAGCTATGTTTCATGTTGCTTACATTTAATTAATTCTCTGAAAGAGGAAACATACGGTTTTGTCTTTGTGTGTGAAACAGGGCAAACACACAGATAAACTAGGACTGCGGGAGTCTTGCAAGTCTGCTCACGGGGTATATCAATGTTGGTATTCCTGGATTACTCTCACAACTATACCCTCAAGCTGTGTCGTTGCATCACTGATCAAGTCTATTTTTTTACTTGAATGTTTCTTTAAAGGCAGAATAAGAATGTTTACCATGTTATTATAGTATTTGTATAATAAACTGATAATGTGTGTATCAGATATAGAACACATGGAGCTACTATGTGCATGATAGAATCCTTTAGCACACAGCAGTAAAGTTTTAGAGGTATGTTAATTTGAAAGTGCAGCAGATCTACAAATCTGTCGAAATACCTGGAGGAGTTTTATTATGCACGTTTCCTTTACTATTTTAATAAAAAATGTGGAATCAACATTTCTCAGCTGGCAATTTTCACCCAGAGCATTTTTCAATCTGAGGAAGTGTGCAATAACAAAAGGAAAAAAAAAAAGGATTATTTAGCATATTTGTTGAAATTCCGAAGAACTAACGGCACAGTGTATAATATTATAGAACACAAAAAAAATAAAGAATAAAACGATGTGTTGTATACATTTTCTGTTGTGCATCATCAAGAAATGTTAAGTGGGACTTTGGGAAAAGTCCACCTGGTCATACTAATTCCGCAAAAATCAAGTTTCCACAATTCCCCAGAATTTTACCTCTTCATACAAACATACAGATATTATGTGTCAGATTTCATCTTACATTTTACAAACACATAAACCAATCTGGTTGCATATTGCACCAATGAGAAGTTGCAATTTATTTAGTACTTAGATATACGCTTACAAAAGGATCTTAACTCTTTGACCAGTAGCAGCTCTATGCTGTTTCGAACTAAAGGATCAACGCTGTTAAAGAGACATTATAGGCACTTAAACAACTTTAGCTTAATGAAGCAGTTTTGGTGTATAGATCATGCCCCTGCAGTCTCAATGTTCAATGCTCTGCATGAAATGTGCACTGCCTTCCTAAACACTTCCTTTAAAGAAAGACCTGATATTTAAACTTCCTTTATTGCAATTCTGTTTAATTTAGAATGTTGTACCCACTGCTCTGTTAATTGCCATCTAAATCCTGCAGGAGCCTCCTGTGTGTGATTTAATAAATACTGAGAAAGAGTAAAAATAAGTATAAAATAAGTTATCATCTGATTGACAATGAAACCTTTTTATTTCTATGCATGCAGTGTCAGTCACAGCCAGGGGAGATGTGGCTAGGGCTGCATTAATAGAAACAAAAGTAGCTGAACTACTAAATGACAGAAAATTGAGTGGTGACACTGCAGTGGCATGATGTATACACAAAAGCTGCTTCATTAAGCTAAAGTTGTTTTGCTGTCTATGGTATCCCTTTAAGTTTGATGATGTTTTAACTGCTCTGGGTTAAAGCGCTATGTATAGAGCTCCATTATGAAGTATAGATGATGATGGCGTATACGTCTAAGCTTTTAATGTCACCTCTTTCCATTGTAGAGTACTGAGGTATACCTTGGTGTATTACAACAATATATTATTACAATATTGAAAGTTCTTGAATGTATGTGAAACTGACAGTGTAGGCAGAGCTACAACATTCATCTCTTTAACAGAGAACATCTCTTTAATTTCATGCTTTTAGCAAGCATCGTTGTATCTAAATGTGAAGGTCGAATCTTGCTTTAGGACTATCGAAGCTCTACTTGAAAGTGCATTTCAGCGACTAGTACAGAAAAACAATGATCTGTACATAATGTATTAACTTGGTACAGTTTGTTCTAGTGCTTTGTCACCTGGCTTTTACATATTAAAGTATGTAGTGAGAATGCTAGAAAATATGCATGTACCACTCATGGGCTTGTGTTTTGCTTCAGTAGTGCAGATGGCGTACTGATAATGCAAGCATTGTCAGCTAGTAGAATACAATAAACACGTGCTAAATAATTACTAAGACAATGACAATATAATGACAAACTCAAAAACAGCCTAATTTCAGGGTGCTCTCAAGTGTCACTGGAGCCTCTGAAATAAATTAAACAAATCCTAACACAGTAATTGTACAAAAACTGTAATTTTGTTTTTAAAAATAAAACCGTGTGAGTTGTATGCCTCATAATGTACCCTAGTAATGTATGTTTTACATATTTAAACAAATATAGGAACAATTTTCTTGACATTGAAACAATCAATTTAAATATCAATTTTATCTGTCGTTATTTTGTACATGATTGAACAACATGCAAAAGTTAAAGGAGCACTATAGGGTCAGGAACACAAACATGTTTTCCTGACCCTATATGGCTAAAACCACCATCTAGCCACCCAGGTCCCCTCATGCCTCCCTAAATATAGTAAAATCTTACTTGTATTCAAATCTGCAGCTGCATGCTTTGTCCCTCTTTCCTATAGACCTGCCCACTGCCTGCTGACATCAGCAGAAGTGGTAGCCTGATCCAATCGCAATGCTTCCCCATAGGATTGGCTGAGACTGACAAAGAGGCAGATCGGGACAGAGCCAGCACAATTCAAACACAGCCCTGGCCAGTTAGCATCTCCTCATAGAGATGAATTGAATCAATGCATCTCTACGAGGAACGTTCAGTGTCTGCATGCAGAGGGAGGAGATACTGAATTGTTGGATGCATTTTAGAAAAGAGGGACTTATAAAGCTCTTGGAGCTGCCTGGTTATATTACTTGTATTTCCATGACCCGGGAAGGATCTCTAACTTCCATCTGAGGAGTGGTCAGTGAAGTTATCACTAAGCTGTAATGTAAACACTGCTTTTTCTCTGAAAATACAGTGTTTACAACAAAAAGCCTAAAGGTAATGATTCTACTCACCAGAACAAATTCAATAAGCTGTAGTTGTTCTGGTGACTACAGTGTCCCTTTAAAAATCTATGCTTTAATTTGACAAGCCTGGTACACTCCCAGTCTGGGATGTAAATCATTTGCTCAAACATTTCTTTAGCAGTAGAAGTAAATTAAAGTAGATTATTACAATGCAGGAAGTAAGAATCCAGGGCAATTTTCCACACTTGTATGATGCCTATGAGTGTCACTATATCATTTTCAGAGTATCTTATTCACTCTTAGGCAGAGACTAAAGGGACATTATAGTTACCCAGACAACTTCAGCTTAATGAATCGGTTTGGGTTTATAGACCAAGCCTCTGAAGTTTCACTGCCATTAAGGGGTTAAATAATCACTTTGTTTCTGTTTATACAAACCTAGCCACACCTCCCCTGGCTGCGATTCGGACTGCCTGCATGGAGAAAAAGTATTTCACATACATAGGGGTAAACAGAAAATGGGAAAAGAAAAAAGATAAATCTAAAATATTGTATGATTGCACTATTTTTACATATGATCTTAATAATTTATTGCAGTATATTATATGAATATATATATATATATATATATATATATATAGACTCACAGGAAAGTAGGATAATGTCAATTGCAAAGGCAGGGAGGTTCCTGTGAAATGAATCATGTAAAAATGTGTTATTTCATGCAGTTCTCTTCACATACAAGATGGTAATTTTCTCCAGAGAAATTTCTCTTTTATCAAGAAACTCGACTATCATGAAATGCAAGGCAAATGTAAAGTTGTGTTCTATTATTTCTGACAAAATGAACAGATTTCATTCATGTATCCAATGATAAACAGTTGTCAGCACCTAATTACTACAGCAACTGGTTTTTATTTTGTTTTTCCTTGTGTATTTCTGATACCATAAGCACTTTCTGTTTTCTAGACATTCAAGTCTGGTTGGAGATGATAAAGTGAACAATGTTCATGAATGCTTTTCTGCAGAATAATTATAATTTGTAAGACGTTGTATACTTTTATTTATGTGCGGTAAGTGGAAACATTATTACTAATTTAATTGCAAACACATTTTATTCACATATTAGGCACTTTTTGCTAAGTGGAATTTTTAGCTCACATTGCCACAATGCTGTAGTATTGATGTTTTAGATACCCGAGCAATAATAATAAAATAATATTAGGTAATTATTATCACACAACAATCTGATCTAGTAGTTAGAGGTATCTAAATAGTCTCCTTTTTAAAGTGAAGCTAAAGTCCATTTGAGAAGTCAGCATTGTGACGTTATGCAAATCATTATAATGATATGCTCACAATTCTACTAACCTGTGCAAAATTAGTGCCTGTTTCACTACTGTATATTAAATGTATAATCCAAAATCAATATCCATGCAAGAGAAACATTACCCATACTATTTTAAATATCCCAAGCAATCAATAGAAAATGATAGATGTTGAACATTGTTTGTTTAAAGGGACACTATAGTCACCTGAACAATTATTGCATTTGTTCTGGTGAGTATAATCATTCCCTTCAGTCTTTTTGCTGTTAGCACTGTCTTTTCAGAGAAAATGCAGTGTTTACATTAGAGCCTAGTGATAACTTTACTGGCCACTCCTTAGATGGCTGCTAGAGGTGCTTCCTGGGGCACATTGTGCAGCACTGCCATTCAGTGTCTTCTCCATCTGCATGCAGACACTGACCTTTCCTCATAGAGGTGAATTGATTCATTACATCTATAGGAGAAGATGTTGATTGGCCAGGGCTGTGTTTGACTGATCTGCCTCCTTCACATGTTCAGGCAAATCCTATGGGAAAGCATTGTGATTGGCTCAAAAGAACAACTTCTGATGATGTCAGCTAAGCAGGCAGATCAGGGGCAGAGCCAGCAGCTGCAGCCTTGAACAAAAGTATGATTGTACTGTATTTAGGAGGTAAGAGGGGCCCCAGGTGGGGGGGTGGGGGAGGAGGGGAGGTTGGTGGTTTTAACTCTATAGGGTCAGGAATACATGTTTGTGTTCCTGACCATATAGTGTTCCTTTCAATTGGAAGTATATCTACTAAATTGTAAAAAATAAATAAAACATGTTCAATAGAGTGTTTCATTAACATCAGAAACCAAATTTTGCAACGCACATATTGCTTGCTTTTAAGAAAACTCCTATCAGTCAAAGCCGTTGCTGGCTGAACATAAAGCGGTTTGCATATTGACTGGTTTTAGCGTAGAAAGTTTTAGAATCTGTCACATAGTTTCTAAATAGTGCAGCAGTATACTTCCTTACATCTGGAATTAAAACCTGCAGGAATATTTTACAGCTTGTTTTGAATTCCGAAAATAAAATGTCAGGTTTAACCCGCAGGCTATGATCAGATCCAACATCCGCCACTGCATTCCAGCTGATCTTGTCAATTATGTTTACACCAAACTAAAATATGTCACACATTTGAAAATCTGACACTTGGGGGGTCTGACCTCAATCTGCAATGCTGAGAAAAAAATAAATTTAGCAGCATAATACAGATGGAAAGTAGCTGCTGTAGAAAGAGAATTAGAAAACAGAAAAGAAACTGCCAAGATAATGATACAATACATAGATGGATAGGAAGAAGGTACATGACTATAGTTAAAGTTAGTGTTTGGATTCCTTTACTATTAGGACAGTTCTGGGTATGTTTATACAAAGGACGGGCAGGAGTTAAGTGATAGAATTGTGTCTCTTTCTCTCCAGCCCCTCTCCCAATCTAAAATGGTGGATGGTACCCAGGTATCTAATGTCTATTAAACCCAAAGTGAAACTAAATTTTATTGATACAGTATAATATTTAGTTATTTACTTTTTATATGACTTTCATATGATGGAACATTGGTTGACAATGGTTTTAAGTTATCCTTATTTCTTTTGGACAGAGACATATGTGGCATTGCGTATTGACGTTTTTTCTTTAAACTAAATAAAGAATTAAAAGAAAAGTGATTTATTAACAACTAGGTTAATTTCTCACATAAGTCTGTCTGAATGAGTTACCTCAGCATTCTACTCTACAGGACAGAACACAAAGATGCAGTGGTATCAGTCAAACTAGGCAGTAGTGCTAACAATACATTGAAACTGTTGGGATTTTATGAGCGTTAAATAGCATTTTTCCATTTTTTTTTACCATAAACCAATGTGCCTTCTGCAATGCCTGTATGATTCTGATCAGGCTCCACCCACGTTCCTCTGCATGAGGACCTCCAGCATCAGATTTTCCCCATAGGAAAGCAGAGATCCTAATTTAAGCAAGGCCATTGCAATGCATGCTCATTAGGTCTCCCCCACCATATCACATTGGCCAGGGAGACCTAATGCTCATGCGCGGCAATGGCCGCACTCGCATTAGGATCTCCCCATACGAGAGCATTCATCAATGCTTTCATATGGGGAAAATCTAATGCTGGAGGTCCTCATGCAGAGCATGAGGACGTCCAGTGTCCGATAACGTACCAAAGGTCCATTTTGATTCCCGAAGTCCTCTCTTGGCTGTCTGATAGCTGTCTGTTTTACATTGCAGCACTAAGTGCAATAAGGACACAGCACCCAGACCACATCAATTAGCTGAAGTAGTCTGGATGCCTACAGTGTCCCTTTAGAGGCAGTCCTACTATACAGAGGAGAATCCTGCTTTGTGATCATCTTGACCTCATAGAGATGAATTGATTTATTCTGCTGGTAATCTTCATGCATAGACTGTTCCCAAACTGTCCATATGAAGAGAATGCTGGAGAACAACATGCCTTTATTTTTTTTAATTGGGTAACAAAAATAATAGATCAGGGTGGTGCAGTAGACATTGCTTACCTAGATTTCAGTAAGACTTTTGACACTGTTGCACATAGAAGGCTTATCAATAAACTGCAATCTTTAAGTTTGGATTCCAATATTGTTGAATGGGTAAGGCAGTGGTTGAGTGACAGGCAACAGAGGGTTGTAGTCAAAGGAGTATATTCAGAGCATGGGCTTGTCACCAGTGGGGTACCTCAGGGATCTATACTTGGACCCATTCTCTTTAATGTTTTTATTAGTAATATCGCAGAAGGTCTTGATGGTAAGGTATGTCTTTTTGCTGATGATACTAAGATATGTAACAGGGTTGATGTTCCAGGAGGGATAAGCAAACTGGCAAATGATTTAGGTAAACTAGAAAAATGGTCAGAGTTGTGGCAACTGACATTTAATGTTGATAAGTACAAGATAATGCATCTTGGAAGTAAAAATCCAAGGGCAGAGTACAGAATATTTGATAGTCCTAACCTCAACATCTGAGGAAAGGGATTTAGGGGTGATTATTTCTGATGATTTAAAGGTAGGCAGACAATGTAACAGAGCAACAGGAAATGCTAGCAGAATGCTTATTTGTATAAGGAGAGGTATTAGCAGTAGAAAGAGGGAAGTGGTCATGCCATTGTACGCAACATTAGTGAGACCTCACTTGGAGTATTGTACGCAGTACTGGAGACTGTATCTCCAGTAGGATATTGAAACTTTAGAGAGAGTTCAAAGAAGGGCTACTAAACTGGTTCATGGATTGCAGGATAAAACTTACAAGGAAAGGATAAAGGAACTTAACATATATAGCTTGGAGGAAAATCGAGACAGGGGGGATATGAAAGAAACATTTAAATACATAAAGGGAATCAACACAGTAAAGGAGGAGATTATATTTAAAACAAGAAAAACTACCACAACAAGTGGACATAGTCCTAAATTAAAGGGGCAAAGGTTTAAAATTAATATCCGGAAGTATTACTTTACTGAGAGGGTAGTGGATGCATGGAATAGGCAGTAGGCAGTAAAGGAGTTTAAGAATGCGTGGGATATCCATAAGGCTATCCTAACTATAAGATAAGGCCAGGGACTAATGAAAGTATTTTAAAAAATTGGGCAGACTAGATGGGCCAAATGGTCACATATTATGTTTCTATGCCTGTTCAGTTAAAGCTCCCAGGAATATGAACATACCAAACATTGGCTCGTTATATTATTTGCCCTGACACGCCTGTATTCTTTTTCCTCATCTACAACCCCTAAAGGGAGCTCTCTTTTGTTGGCTTTTTCTGTATGTAGTTTATCACATTTGTTTGCAGTAATTTTTTGTTTGTCTCAAAAACAATTTATATTACATTTTCAACTTTTTTCAATACTTGAATCTATTTGAGGTGAACTTAGTTATTGTGTTTCACTGTATTGTGTTTCTACATTTCCTATTATTTATTAATATTATTGTATTCTTTCATATATACCTTTATCTTTTATGAGTCATAGTAGTCCATCTTTCCACCTCTTGTACTTTTGGAATATTATTATATTTATTTACTATATCTTTACCCATGGTTTTAAGATGTAGTTTTGCTGGTTTCCAGGAGTATATTTTGGGTGTGCTTTAGATATAAATACTTTCCATCTCAAATGTATACATTTGGTTTGTCTGATCCATTGGATAATAGTGTGATCTTTCACTAACGGCATATAATTTGGATTTCTTTTTTGGAAATTCCTCATCTTGTTCTTCTTAAAATTATTTTGATCCCTCTTAATGGTTTTTGATTTTTAATGGATACAGTATCATGTAAAGTTTTGTTTTTTCCATTTGGATAAGCTAGAAAATATTTCAAATCCAAAACATAAAACAAAAAAATTAAAAACAAACAAAGAAACTAACAAAAAACATTTGCAAAAATTCTATGAAAAAGGTTTCCATTTCAAAGTAAATATCAAAGGGATATGTATGCTAACCACCAAATCAACTTTAACTGAATTAAGCAGTTTGTATGTATAGATCATGCAGTCTCAATTACTTTGTTTATGGAGCCATAGCTACGACACCCATGGCTGAGTATCCACCCAGCCTCCCTACACACGTCCTGTAAAGAAAGGCTTTATTTTGAAACTTATTTTTTTTGTAAGTGTGTTTCATTTAGATTTTTTTGTCTCCTGTGCTGTTAATAGCCGCTAGAGCCTACGGGAGCCTTGAGCGTGATTAAAGTTCAATTAACAGAGCAGGAACCAAGAACTTCTAACACAAACACACTGTGCTATAAGATCTATTTGAAATTAAACCATTTTTTTTTTGTGGAGGCTGTGTGAATCTCAATCAAAGGAGGTGTGGCTAGGGCTGAATAAACAGAAACAAAACAGAAACAAAAGTAGTTTATCTCCTAAACAGTAGAAAAATGTGCAGTGAGACTGTCGGGGCATGATCAATACACCAAAATTGCTTCATTAAGCTGAAGTTGTTTTGATGTCCCTTTAATATAATTTGTTAGTTAGGAAGTCATGCAATACTGAGAGTGATATCAACAGACTAATTTAAAAGACAACCCATCTTCATTTGTAGCCTGACCAATAGCCCCCCCCCCATATATATATATATATATATATATTTATTAAATTTTTTTGGAAAGAAGCCTACGTTACTGAATAAACCATTAGTATATAGCATCCACATTTCACTTGCAAAGTGGGAAGCAAAGTATTAGTTCTTTTCATGAAAGAGTTAAAGAGATCATTGAACTTGGAATCACCATCACTCTCTGTTCTCTTTATGAGAGAAGACACTTTTCCCTGGGAGCTTGCTATTATTTACCTTGTTGAGCAAAAAATCTCGGCACCTGCCTATCCCTGTAAAGCAATGTGTGAATTATTAAAGTCAAAAAAGTTTGAAGAGTGTTATAGAAGCTATTCTGAGAGATTACCGAGGGCTTCTGTTGCTAGGGAAACCACATTCTTCACAGAATGTGTCTCGAACAGCTGCTCATTTGGAACCTTTTGCTGTTAATTTCAGATTACATTACAATGCTAACAAAAAAGAATTAAAATTAAGGAAGGCGTCTTAACTCTTTCAATCTACTGGATAATTCATTATATGGATACGGTTTTCATCATATTTTTAGCTGGTGTTTTTTGCTTGTTACAGTTTCACTGGCACAGGACTTACACTGAGTGTGAAAATCTAAAGGGAATTTTAAGAAACACACAACATATACCATTGTTGGAACTGACTATTTATTAAATCTACTGAGAAATGAAATGATGTTTCCTCTACAACACCTACAATGTTTATTCAGTCTTACAATTGAATCATTCTAACTTAAGAGCACAAACCAGAGTTGGATTACTATGAGAACATTCATCTTCTGGTTGCCCTCTTTGCGTGTATGCATTTAGGTGCAAGCAGGTGGGAAAAAAATATGATGATACTAACACTGAGAACTATAACAACTGTACATTATTGCAAATGTTACGTTGCGGAAAGTACAAGCACCCAGTCTCCCTATTGAGAGTTGCTCACAAGGGAAGTGATTTGTAAATAAATATGTTTGCCCTCATGATAGTCATCTCACTTGTGCATGTGCGGTGCATACACTGTACACACACGTTAGAAAGTGGTCTGGAGATGGAGATGTGGCTCAGACACAGCTGACGAATTACACATATGGTGGGATTGCCCTTTGATCAAATATGGCTGGGACAGACTATTTGTGCACGTCAATAAACTTTTAGGACTAAAACAGGTGTTGACAGAAGAGATTGCGATATTACTTCTGAAACTACCACCCTTTTCGAAAAGCAAAAGATGGCTTCTGCTCCATATTTTAATGGCATTTAAAGGCTCTATTGACACACACTGGAAATCATCTAGAGTCGAACTATGGCCACAAATTAAAGGACGGGTCAGATTTCAGTGTAAAATAGAATGCAAAATTATGTCAAATTTTTGTGTCAATTGAGAAAAATATTGCATCTGGGATAACTGGATAAAAGTCCTAGATAAAACATCATAATTGGGAAGCTGAAACCCAGAGTTGAGTTGATTTGAGTTTATAAAGGTCTTCCTTACACGGCCTGGCTTCTTTATATTGCCCTAAGGTAATTTACGTACTGTAATTATCTTCACATTGTATGTTTACATGTATGTCTAATATATGTATGTAATTTACGGATTAAGGAGAGGTTTGACTGTTGCTGACAGTTGATTGTTTAAAGGAACACCATAGTCACCCGGACCACTTCATCTCCATTAGGTGATCTGGGTGTACAGTCCCAGTCCTTTTAACCATGTAATGAGAAATTTTGATGTTTTTATTGTATAGTTAAGTTCACATACAGTTGTTTATGTTGTCATGTGCACAGTGCAGAAACCCCATAGAAAAATATTAATTCTATGCTATTCAATGGGAAAGTTTGAATGCACATACAGCATTCTATGAGGAGCATTGGATTTGACATTGGCAGAGGAGGCCATGTCTCCTTTGTGCCATTGTGGGGGGGTGGAGAGGTAAGCATCGCTGAGGGAGTCTCAGTCCTGGAAAAAGTAAATCTTTATTTTTGACTTATTTTTACTGCAAACAGGATAGGGTGGGAGAACCTATTTAGAGCCAGGGAGAGGGACACTATAGCGTTAGGAATGCAGTTTTAAGATTTTTAATGTTTTTTTTTTTATTTGCATAATTTTTGAAAGCATTTTCAATCCTTGCCTATTTAATAATAATAAATGAATAATTTTAAGAATATTACAGGCTATAAATATTTTAGAAATAGGCTGCAGTTTTACAATATATCCTATTTACCCCATACTGGCCCTCACATAGCTATCGTGATATCCATTCATACGGAGAATGCTCTAGTGTAGTGCATGTAAATTGTAAAAAAGAATCCCTATCTAACTCGATGGCAGAGAGAGAGGTGGAGCAAGTAGCAGACAGCAAAACTGTGAGATAAACACTGCACTTGAGTTGGGCCTTACAGAAGATTACTACAGATAATCTTCGAAGACTAGTAGTTTACTGTCCCTATAGGCTCTAAATGGGATAAATATAGTTAAATACATCTTGTCATTTCTAATCAAAATCTTTCCAAGAAAAATACTTGTCATAGTTATGATATAAAAAGATTTTTAAGCATGACAGGGCTTTTTGTGCCAAATAATGAGGAGATTTGGGAACAGCTCAAATAGAAAAACTGTTTGTAAAGTAGAATTTTATTTCTGCAGATAAAATAAATAAATAAACTCCACAGAACTTTTAACGACAATAGACAACGCAATCACTGCTCATTGCAAAAATAATTTAAATGTAGATGTCCCACATTTTGGGTTAGAACATGTTAATTCTTAACAAATAGGACATCTAGCCTCACAAAACTTCAGCTGTTGCTAGGTGGCTGACATTTCCAAGAAATATATATAAATATAGTACCTGTCCTACAACTTCTATGTCAGCATAGTCCCCTGATGTAGTGGATGATAATCAAAAGACAAGCTATGAAGCCAAGTTCATTCTTTGAGTAGAATCTCTATAATGTATAATTGTCTTCTAATGTTTGGAACTTTTCATATACGGGACCTCACTGGGCTCTTGAAATATACAGGATATTATACCTATATCTATAGCAGGGGTTCCCAATAATTTTTCCCATGGAACCCTTTGATAAAGTGTATCAACCATCGTGGAACCCCCTCCCCCCTTTGCCCCCCCTGGAAAAAAAATACAAATTGCACCGTTTTTTTGTATGTTCCGGTGTGTCAAGGTGTGTATATCTGTGCTTGTATGTGTCAGTATGACACACAGACACACACACACACTGGCACATAGTGGCACACAGATACACACACTGACACACAGATACACACACCTTGACACACAGTGTGTGTGTATGTATGCATGTATCTGTGTGTCAAAGTGTGTGTATCTGTGTTTGTATATGTCTGTGCATCAAGGTGTGTGTATCTGTGTTTGCATGTGCCAGTGTGTATGAATCTGACACACAGATACACACCCCTTGACACAGTGTATATCTCTGTGTGTATGTATCTGTGTGTCAAGGTGTGTGTATCTATGTTTGAAAGTGTGTGTAACTGTGTTTGTATGTGCCGGTGTGTGTCAAGGTTTGTATATCTGTGTTTGTATGCGCCACTGTGTGTATCTCTGTGTCAGTGTGTACCTTTGTGTGTGTCTGTGTATGTATATGTATCTGACACACAGATACACACACACACTGGCACACCTTGACACACAGATATACACACTGACACACACGTCTTGACTCACAAATACACACACACACTCAGATACACACAGTGTGTGATTCTGTATCTCAGCTCCCTCGCATGCCTCTTGGTGATGCTGGAGCCGGAGGGATGTCATATTCCGGCTCCAGCATCACTGCAACTTTTGGCGGAACCTGAGGGTTCCGCGGAACACCAATTGGGATACGCTGATCTATAGACATGTTCATCCTGAGACTGGAGATAGTCCACATGAGTCTGACTAAATATTAAAGGTTTCATGATATACTCACAAAAAAGATTAAGTCATCTAATTTTGTATCGGAAACTTTTAAAGTTGTCAGTTATATACCGTATATCTGTTTGATCACTTCAACTGACAACATTATTATTTTCAAGTATAGTTTGAAGTAGTGTGATTAACATGCAGGTTTTCTAAACTTCTCCTGTTTTAAATATCGCGTTATTGAGAATATAGTCAGACAGACTAAAGGATTACTCCAAGCACATAACCATTTCATTGATATGATCTAGCCATGGTGCCTAGAGTCTGTATGTGCAGCATTTCCATTTGAAACCCTGCACATGCCGTGTTTAGCTTCTCTACTACTGGATATGCATCTTCATATCTGTGGCAAACCTAGCCACTTGGACAATATAAAGAGACTGTGCCTTTAAGGGTTGCCTGTATGGTCGTGGGGATATGTGTGTGCCTAGGTGTAATGTATTCTGGCTGTATAACCTTGTATTACCTGTATTGGCTATCTGCCAAAAGCAGATAGCTGTATTCCATTTTGTTTCACGAACGGCACCTTTGCGGGCTGTTCGTGAACAGAAATAACCACCCTGTAATAGCCCACACATTTAGAGACGTGTGGCGCTTGTTAACCGATTGCAACAATGTTGCAGTCGGTAATTAGAGGCTCTCCTAGGTGGCCGTCGTTCGACTACCGACCACGCGGCGGTCGGCCATCTTGGATCCTTTGTTTCCCCAGCGGTGTTTGGTCGTCGAGCGCGTGGTACTAAAAACGGCTACTCGACGGCGCGAACACCGCTGGACTTCCAGGCCGTTCGGTAGTTCCGGGCCGTTCGGTATTTTATTCCCCATATACCAATCGGTCTTTTGACTGTATGTTTTGGGGAATATGTTTTTCGTGCGGCGTTCGGTTGTTTTAGCTGGGTTCTGAGCGGTAATCTCACGAATGATGCGCTCAGACCCCAGCTATCTACCGAACGTCCATTCGTGCAAATAGACCTAATACTCGAAAAGTTATACATTTTAATATAAATTGACGGTTCTGCTGCACGGAGGGATGATCCACTTAACGGTACATTCCAGTGGGAGGATCCCTCTCATGCAGCAGTGCTTGATGGGAGAAATGCTCTGTACTGTAAGTTCCCCACGTAGTCCATCCCTGGAATACCCCTGGGAGAGGACTCAGGGAACCCCTTGCATGGGGAATTGTGTAAATTGTGGAGCCTGTTAATAAAGCCTTCAGTTGACTCCCAGAACTGTGTTTCGTCCGGTTACTGGGGGGATTTGGGATATCGCTTTCTTTTCAGTGCTGTCTGTGGATTATTGAGTGTACCAGCGGAATTCGTGGATTTAATACTGCCGATCCACTACAATATCCAACAAAGTTCTGGGATGGCTAATTTCGGTTCTGTGCTAAATTGGCATCTAATGGCAGGACAAACAGCATGGATGCCAGACAGCCAATGGCAGCACGATCCACCTCCATACCACCACTGTCCTCCCCTCAGTCCTTCCTTCCTGCTTTCCCCCTTCCCTCCTACAAGGAATGATATCGGTTCAGGTGGATTAGACTGCTGGGAGAACTTGGACTTGGAGCTGGAAGTAGGCAAATGTTAGCTTTTATATATTTATTTATGACCACTGCAGAAAGGTTTTTTATAACCAAAACCAGTACTTTATGAAAACACTGTTGTTTGATTTGTCTAACCCTTTAAAGAACTGCATATATTAATTCTAAGCTGCTTTCTTTCTCTGGCCAGTGTGAACTGCATCACAGTAAAAATCATTCTCCTGTATTGCTTAACCTTTTCTTAGTCCTGAGGTTTGTTCCACACTAGTATAGCTTATTAGCAAGAAGATTTAATGTTGCAGGAAATTACAGGTTCAGTGTAAGAACAGAATGTTTTGCAAAAATGTTTCATTTAAATAAAATCCATTCAGTGATTTGTTACAAGCTAAACAAATGTGATCAATTAGAGAAGACATTGCCGTTTAGAGATCCGCGATTACCTGTAATAGTTGTTTGGCTTATGCAACGCTAATAAATTCCATACACAGAATGAAACAGATAATGTTTAGACAAATTCATCTGAAACTGATAAATTCAAACCAACCAACCAATACACAGCTACAGAAAGGTAAACAGGGCTCAGCTGACATTTAATCACTCTAAAATAACCTTTAACCATGGAATTGTAGTGCTCCAAAGGCTCCGGTTGCTACAATGTAGGAGCGTCCATTACTGTCGAACTACACGCTGAATTTCACAAATAAGAGTGAGTATACAAACAGTGAATACACAGCCTTGTTACAATGCTGCCGCCCATCCCATGTGTTCCCTATTAAGGGTTAATAAGAATATAGGGGTGTATATAAAAAATACCCCTCTTTGTCTCATTAGAGATATTTTTGCCAGAAGCTCAAGGAAGCAGGCCGAAGGGTCAGTGTAGGACCCGCTTAGGGGGGTCTGCCTTGATGGCAGGCAGGCATTCCCTCCAATGGCCATTGGAGTAACTAAATGACCTCCATTTGTCTAAATATACAATGGGATTAAGGAGAGAGTGCAGGTAACTTTTTCCTTTGGTTTTTACTATATATTGGGGCTGATGTGTACTGTAGTCATTGCTGCTGCCCAGTAGTGATGGGAGTGAGCACAAGGCTTTTCTTTTTGTATTTGTATTCACTGTTTGTATCACATAACAGTCTTGTTATGGGTTAATAAGTAAATAGGGATGTACATTTTTTTCTTTGGTTTTAGCAGTGAAAATTGTGTTTATTGTTTGCAGTGAACAGGGCCGCCATCAGGGGGTGACAACCATGATGGTTGTCACGGGCCCAGAGGTCCTGGGGGGCACAGGCCCCACACTTCTCTTTTAATTCAAGCTATCAGCGGATTCGACACAGCGAGGGAGCATTGATCCCTCGCTGCGCCGAATCCATCAATAGTCAAAAGAAGTAGCCACGAGAAATGAGATTCTATCACATTTCCCTACCCTGTAAAAATGTCCTTACCCATAGGGAAATCTGAGAGAACACAAAAGATCTCCCTGTCTGCTCTTAGATATGGTCTCCCTGGTGGCCCAGTGGGCTGCTGGTGTACTCCCTGGTGGTCTGATGGGCTGCTGGTGTACTCCCTGGTGGTCCGATGGGCTGCTGGTGTACTCCTTGATGGTCCGGTGGGCTGCTGGTGGACTCCCTGGTGGTCCAGTGTGTTGTTAGAGCAGCCGCACTACCTTGCGGTTCTGGCACACTGTAAGTGTCAGAGTACAGGCGCTGGGTTCGAGCCTGCGCTCTAACATCATCGCAGAGCGCCAGAACCACAACACACTGGACCATCAGGGAGTCCACCAGCAGCCCACCGGACCACCAGAGAGTCCACCAGCAGCCCACTGGGCCACCAGGGACTCACTGAACCTCCATGGAATTAATTATTGCCCCCACGGCCTGCACAGGAGGTAGCACGACGGGGGAAAGATACATATATATACATATATAAATAACAGTTAATATAAATATAGCACTCCAGAGGCTTTGAAATGTGGTGAAAATAACTTAGCTTTTATTCAACATCTGGCACAGTGGATCAACGTTTCAGTTCTCTAATGGAACTTTCGTCAGGATATATACTATATATATATCCTATATATACTAAAGAATATATATGTATATACTAAAAATACACCACCCCTCTCTCTGTCACAAAACCTATAACATTCTCTTAACCCAGTCACACTAACCCTCCTAACTCTGTCACACTAACCCTCTCTAACCATGTCACACTAACCCCCCTAACCCTTAACACTAACCCCCCTAACACTGTCACTCTAACCCTGTCACACAAACCCCCTATAACCCTGTCACACTAACCCCCTAACCCTGTCACACTAACCCCCTAGCCCTGTCACACTAACCCATTTTACCATGTCACATTAACCCCTTCTAATACTGTCTCACTAACCCTTCTAACCCTGTCACAGAAATCCCCTCTAATCCTGTCAAACTAACCCTGTCACACTAACCCCATCACCCTAACCCCCTTACCCTGTCACCCTAACCCCCCTTACCCTGTCACCCTAATATGCCACACTAACCCTGTCACTCTAACCTCTCACACTAACCCTGTCACACCAACACCCTCCCACAGTCACTTACCACTTGTCACACTGTCACACTTACCCACCGCCAACACTCACACTCACCTCGCCCCCCCCCCCACCCTGTCATGCTAACTCGGTAACTTTGGCATGTTCAACCACCCTGATACCTACTACCCAAATCCTATCACACTTACCCAATGATGTATCTGTGTGTATCTGTGTATGTATCTGTCTGTCAGTGTGTGTGTGTGTATATCTGTGCATGTGTCCATGTGTGTATCTGTGTATTTGCATGTGTGTTGGTATGTATGTCTGTGTATCAGTGTGTATGTATGTGTGTGGCAGTTTATACACCACACACAAATGAATGCCTGCATTCAAAATCCAATATTTACACAAGCATACTCCATACAAAAGCATGCTTACATTCAAACACACAAACATTGCTCAGTGCTAAACACAACACTGCAAGCATGGGCAAATTGTAGATCCCCAGCTAGCAAAGCATTGTGGGACTTGTACGACAGATGGAGATCTACATTTTGTCCACCTTTATGCTAGAGGGTGTGCCAAAAAAAAAATCTTGCACCTGGGACATCTCTATGTTATTTCCAGCACTGCCCCTGCAGGCACTCTGCAACTTGAATTGTGAAAACAGTACCCAGTGCCTTTAGTTTTCAGAAGCTCTCTCCAACTCTTGGGAGCCCCCAGCTGTCAGAGTGTTGCTGCAAGTTATGCCAAATAGACTGGTCTTGCAAGAGTTGGAGAGAGGAGCTACAGGAAACTGAAGATCATGTTGGCTGTGCCCCCTCTTCACTGCACAGCACCTGGCATCCTGCACAATGCCAGAGGATCACCAGGGAGTGTAATTTTCCCCCTCCCTGGCCACATATGTGAGATATTTAGGGAGGAATAACATTAATAAATTAATGATAAAAATTAAAAAATACTTTCCCCCACACACTGAATCCTCTACACCATGGATGCCAACAAGGTAGATGTTTTAAAAACTACAGCTTCCATGATTTTTTTGTCATTCTAAAGGCATGTAAAGCATCATGGGAGTTGTAGTTCTATCTAGGGATCTACCTTTTGGACACCCCTGCTCTACATAAATACATCCACGACACAAAAACACTGTGCATGCACGCACACACTCTGCATCCACTGTACACACACACACACATTGCATCTTTGTGGGCAGATTTGGGGGCGGGCACTGTGGGCAAACTCGGCAGTGAACGCCAGGATCCCAGACCTTTAGTAGTGTTAGGGGCCCCAAAATGTCTGATGGCAGCCCTGGCAGTGAATATGATGTGATGTTATTCCACACCACCCCATCTAGATAGGAGAGAAGGAAGAGATAACAGTTAGGTATGTACTTGAGGGAAAGAGGGAAGGGTAGTGTAAGAGCAAAGGAAGAAGAAGGGAAAAGCGTTGCCTAAAATTGACAACTTAGCCCAGTAGATTATTTTCTCCCTGAAAATTAATAATCTCATATACAGTACATTCTAACAGACTGCAGATACAGAATGCAATAAAAACTGCACGTACTTACGCCAGTGACATCCAGATTCTCCTCCCCTGATCTCTCCCCCGCTGTCTTAGAATGTATCACCAGTTGTCTTTCTTTCATCTTTGATTGGATGTCCTTCTGCTTTATGAAACTTAATCTCTGAAACCAAACTTTATGTTTTTTTATTGGGGCATTTGCATGTTACGATGAATAATTTATCATTTTCATTGGTATATGTATTGTTCTCTTTATATAGTAAACTTCTGGATATTTATTACAACTGCAGTAACTTTTCCTGATTATAGCAATATATACTAATCATTAAGTGCACACTGACTGCTAACTGTGAATTTTACATCCTACAAGACTTAATAACTCAGAATGAATAAAATAAGAATATTAATTGCCATGGATTTCCTGTATCATTCTAAAATATGAGTAATGTATCATCTTTTATGAATATAGTGTTTAACATTTACTTAAAATAGTGTTTCCTGATTTGTAGACTTGGTAATGTATACGGAAAAGGGCAAACTACCATTTTGTGACCTTTCATTGGTTTGTTTGAAGTGCTAATATCATCCGTCCATAGAGGAATTAGTAAAATCTCTACTCTAAATAGCTTCAAATTGTCATATCACAGGGGACGTGAATTTGGCAATTATAGTATCTGTGCTTAAAGTACAGTGACTTTCACACAGCTACTGTGAAACTCAAAATGGCAATGCTATATGAATAATTATACTATGTAAATATGGCAGGATTCAATCATTGCGTCTTGATTTCAATGAGAAAAAAGTACATTACTACATATTTCATTTTTTTCTGGCACATATGTAACCAGGACGAGGATTTAATACAGAGTATGTCATGTTCCTGGTTTTCATGTTGTCTATTTAACAAGTCACAGATTTGTCATTCTCTGGCACTGGAAGATTCAAGTCATGTTGACAGAGAAATAATCCTGAATATATTTTCAATATACAGAATACTGCAAAATAAAATTATCTCTCGATCTTATGCCTGCAGCTTGTTTAATGGAGCAATATAGTGCCAGGAAAACAAACTCATTTTCCTGGCACTATAGGGTTATTAGGTTCCACCCTCCCACTGGGCTGAAGGTGTTAAAACCCCTTTAGTCACTTACCATAATCCAGCGCTGGGCTCCCTCAGTGCTGGTGATCTCTCCTCCCCCTGCCGACGTCAGCTGCTGAGTGGACCAGAACCGCGCGTGCATTCAAACTGCCTATAAGAAAACATTACTCATCAGGGTTAAAACTAGGAGGACCTGGCAGTCATTCGCACGCATTCAAACCACCCATAGGAAAGCATTACTCATCAGGGTTAAAACTAGGGGGACCTGGCACTCAGACCACTTCATTGAGCTGAAGTGGTCTGGGTGCCTATAGTTGTCCTTTAAGTCTATTTCACCTATGCGTGGTAGCATAGATACTTTATATGGTCATTCATTTGCTACTCTCATTTTAAAAGCACTTTTTATAATGCACTTTACAAGGAAGTGTACATTTAAAAACAGTAATAACTAATTTAGCTGACATGTTGGTTTTAGACAGCAGATGGGAGATGACTATAGGATTGCCAAAACTTGTTGTATTAAGTTTCCTTATCTCCCAAGAGGTCTCTCTGTATCTACAAATATTGGCAGTGCACCCATTCTAAGACTTTAAGAGTATGTGGGCTGATTACCAACTAATCTGAAAGTATTCTTCACAATGTAGAGATTGGAAGTCATTGAGCTTAACAGTAAAGCAATAAATCAGTTTTAAAGACTTAAGATATTGTCATGGTTAACTATAACATGGCACGGAGAACTTAAGAATACAATTATAAATATATGAAGAAAGATTGAAGCATATACAGGTCCTTAGAGTGGCCAGACATAGAATAGTACAACACTGGTCAAGGTCAGAGAGACACAAAGTAGTGTATATGCTGGAACAAGCCAAAGGTCAGGGGCAATAGATAGGAGAATAGTTCAAAATAAGCGAAGGTCAGAAAATCCAAAGATACTACGAGAAAAAACATACTCTCGGATAAACATTTAATGGAAACCATGAACAGGCACTGTACTTTTGCTAAAATGGTTTATATAGTTTTAAGAGCGCAGCTAATGGTCAGTTTGCACCATGTGATACCAGAAGGCGCAGAAGCGTGGCCAGTGTGCCGACTTTTGCGCATCCACATTGTCAACCTGGTCTGAGGAGACAGAGCCTTTAAAACAGCCTAGCATGCAGCAGCTGACATCGGACAGGATGCCAGAAGGAGGAGTGGCTGCATTGAAGACGGATGGAATCGGCACTTGCGCGGATACATCGTCATACCCACTATTACAAAACTTCTATATCATTAAATAATTAGTGGATAAAATGAAAATGTAAGAAATTATACTTTTTTTCCATGTGATGTGCTTTGATGAGATGTGTTGAAAACCAATACAAGAACAACAAACATAAGTATATCCAGTACAATTTAACATTAATATTAGGATAAAGGGAGCGCCAATATGGCTTAAATGCATGACCGAGGAGAATAGTTGTAATACAGAGATTCTATAGTGTTCATTGGCTTAGAGTCTTTTACAATATTGAGTGTCATTACATCTGGCAAGCATATGCCATCAGCCTAATTACCACTAGCCCGAATTAAACTTGAACTGAGTCTGAGCTATTAACTTAGTTGCTACAATGTTTGCTGCCTTTAGTTATTACATAATTTTACACTCAGTGGCACATATTTAGCAGCCTAAATTCATAGTGGCATAGGTTCAACAAGATGCAAAGTGGCATGGGTTCAACAAGATGGGGTGAACAATCTTGCAGATTCTGGTTGACATGATATCACAACCTAATGCTGAGAATGTATCAGACACACATTCATTGTCATTAATAATCTCCCTTTCTATCACATACCAAACATGATCTGTTGCACTGGGAGGCCACTGAACTCATCGTTCCTGGAACCAGATCTGAGATGACATGTTCTTTGTGACATGGCACTTTATCCTGATGGAAGCAACCATTAGAAAATGTGTAGCCTAAGAATTGCATTTGTATTGCTACCTCATTAAACGTGCCTTACCTTTAATACAAGTGTCAACTCATGTGCAGCACATTCGTGCCAAGTTCAGATGTAGGGCCAAGTCATCAGTGATATTATTGCAAACTCCTCTAAACTTGCTAACTGGACTTGTTAGAGCTTTCAGCAAATTGCTGCATTCAGGTGTGCCCATTAGGCAATAAGAAAATGCCCTCATTTCATATGTAAAACTTAGTATTAAAGAAAACAAATTTGATGTTATTAATGAACATAAACTATTACATATTTGATGGAAAATACCTTTTTCCTGTGAATTACAGAGGGAGTATCCATCTTTAAGCCCTCTTTGGTCGAAAGCACCACCTATCTGACCAAAGGTCATGCAAAATTTATGGTTGACAATGACTCCGAACATATTTTTGATATGCCTGATTCTCATGCATAATATTATGATTTCTAAATATAAACTAGCACCGGCAGTTACCTGTATTGACTTTTGCACTTCTGATCGGGGAATTGCCACATGAAGTAAGAAGAAGTCAACATATGCACTTAAAAAAATCATTTATGCTGGTAAATTAGTATGAATTGTTCATGTCTACATTTTAACGCTGATGATGTATGCTAAAGCATGGTCCATTTTGACCAAGTCCTGTGCATTTTTCCCTAAATCCATTATTTATTAAGTTGCCACTGGAATAATAAATATATCGAATAATTATATTGTAAATTGTCATGCCTGGGTTTACAATATAATCAGAAAGAAAAAGTATATATTCGATTGTTTTGATGAGTATGCCTCTGTTGAAAAAAGGCAAAATGTATGCTAGAATTGAAGGATATATCATAGGTAGGTGAATATATGAAATATAGACTATCTGTAAAGTACACAGATGTTTTTGCCACATTTTCCCTCTTTCAGCATCTATAAATGAGCATTCTACCATTAATATTGCTACATTGTAGATGTAACCATTTTGTTCTGTTTTATCCTACTTTCTGTAAAAAGCACTTCATCATCAGCAGTTTGGACTCTTACAGAAAAATCCATTTTATGCCATGCTTTCTTCATCAAATATAAAAGCTAGTATACATATTTAAAAAGAAAACTGTAAATCAAGAAGCCAATTAGAACACAAAGTGAGATACAGGCTAGAAAGTATGAAGTCCTCTGTGTAAGAAAGAAAAATTACAATTACAAAACATATTAACACATATTAAAAACTGCAGAGCCAGTATTTCATAAAATACATTATTTGGGCTATATTTTCTTATTTTAGCTGTCAGATCTCCTTCATGAGTCAGTTATTATTTGACTTTATCATTTTAACCTTGTCAAAGTCCTGAAAATGGTAATTATGCCCGATCCTCATGAAAAAAAAAAGTTAAATTATAAAAAAGGACGTACTTTTTCATTTCCTATCATTTTCTGAACTTCATTTGTTAGTACTCAATTTCCTGGATTCATAATGTTCAGTGAAATCATCCCAGCTGTTAAAACTGATAGCACAGTCAGAAAGACCTAATAGGAGATTGGAAGATTGAAGAAAATCTTTGAAGGAGGAAGAAAAGATAAGTCTTTCATGTTTGTATGAACTCTCCTCAAGTTGTCAAGGCTAAAAAAGAAAGACAATGTAGACACAATGTGCAGAGTCCGACAGAGCGGATTTGTTTTTGGTTTGAAAGGAGAAAGATAACGCACTTTAAAGAATGTGCATTAATTTCATTGAACCCCCAGTTTATTGTTAATTTGGCGATCAATACTCATGATCGATGCTCGTTATAGCTGCTGATTATTTTACATAATTATGATAAAAGTATTTGCATATGTTTGTAGAAGTCAAAGAAACCAATTGCATAAACATAAATCTGATAATTTACTATTTTATTTTAGAAGATCAAAATAAATATATAATGTTTCATACTATAAATTTCAGTTTATAAAATTCAATAAAAACAAATTGAATCTCTAAACATATAACTTCATTTTTCTTCTCCTTGCATAGGTTTATATTGCACAGAGCTCTCCTTTTACCCTTGCTTAATTTGTACAGTGATTTATATATTTATTTAAAAAAAAAAAACTTATTATGTACCATAAAAGCAGCTTCATTCATAAGAAAGTACTTTTTAAAGTGGCATTTTTGTGCCCCATAAGTCTATTCATTAGGGATTTAAATTCCAGCCTGTAGTGTCCCTTTAACAATATATAACAAAATAACAATGTTTTTGTATAAAGTTTTCCAGATGTAAAATCATATATATCTTTATCACTCAAATAATTTTAGGCATACATATTATTATAGTATATATCTTAAAACTGTGAGGAAATTATCATTATCTAAAACATTTTGTTGATTGTTTAAATTTCCAACATAACACCAACCACCAAGCCATCACACTACAACGGTGTCTTTCTAAGGTCTACCGAGTTCAAGTTGTGTATATATAAGTTTTCATTACATGCAAACAGCACTGTGACAAGTCATCACTTTTAAAGACTGTTACACTATTCATACAGTAATGTTCTATGCAGTGAGATTTATAAATGTTTGTCCTGTTGTGTCAACTTGTTTAAAGCCATGAAAAATAAATTGTGAGAAATATTCTGTCACGCAAACCCCTTTTCTCCCAAAGGATTAACTAGAAGGTACAGTAACATGACAAATGTATTAGAGATGTTCATACCAATCTGACAGTGAAAAGTGTTCTGTCTCCAACCCTATTCGACGATGCTAGCATGTATCAAATCTTGGAGACATCTGTGAATTTATATGAGGGACATATTTAATGATAATGATTGTTATTTGTGCTGTAATGAATTATTTGAATTTTGCATTAAGTTGTATATCAACAGAGACCAGAAAATGCATTATATATAGAGAGAGAAAGTCTCATCTTTTTAAATAATGATCTTCTAACCATGAGTTATCTATGTCTACATTTTAGATGTATGTTAAAAACAAAGTCCTAGTTACAGAGGCAGTGATATACATGTTGTAAAACAGGCAAAAATCATGGGGCTAAAAAGCTGAGGTTCAGTGAGTCAGATTTATTGGATAATACAGAATACAAAGACATTATTCAAGGAAAATAATTGGAATTTGGCCAAGAGTCTAAATATAACATTGAAGTGTTACTTTGTTAGTTTAAACATAGGGCCCCACCACAATTGCTTTAAATAAATTGCATACCTTTAATCCAATGATAAAACCATCTTCTCACGACAGCTCCACTCTGCCTCCGGGAGATCATCTTTACTGATGATCTCCCAGCTAATGCAATGATTCTCGTAGAGATACATTCTATGAGGAGCCCTTCATTCTGCTTTAATTGAGTGCTCAAAGCAAGTGAGGAAGGTAACCCTTCCATCTGTATGCTTGACAGTTGGAGGAAGTGCCTACAAGGTGCATTGATTGAACTGTTGATTCCTCTTGAAATGTACACTTTTATAAAATAAGACTAAGGAACCCCTAAATAATTTCAGCAAGCATTATTTGTAAACAAATAATCTCACTAATTTTCCACCACCATTAAGACAAGGGTTTATTCACTAATTACCAAACTCTTGTGAATTGAAAACTAGACGTGTGCTCTGCAAGATCATTTGAATGAGTGGAACCATTTTTCTCAAAAAATAAAAAGTTTTTTCGGGTCACCTGAATTTCAGCCAAATGTCATTTATTTCGGCTCTGTAGAATTTAGTTACTGAAAAACTGATTCAGGAACCGCATTAAATGAACCAAAAGCATGCAATAAGTGACCTTTTAACTTACTGCAAAATATATCAATAATATTATGTATATATTCTCATTACACTGATCTTTATTAATATAGTATATATGTATTAGTGAATTTCAAATGTAAGTCCAAAGTAACTTAACTGAAATATAGTTAATGTAGGCCTTGTTTCCAGTTTGACTACTCGGACCTTACACTTGACATTCACTTTGAAGCTGTCTTCTGTTCTCACTTTAGTAAATAACTTTGTGACTTTCCACTATCCATCAATAATCTTTCTTTTCCATCAATCATCTCTTGCTTTGGCTGAACTCAGAATGGCGATTCGAAAGGACATGCTTGGACATTGCACGTTTCATCTGGTTTGTGATTTGATTACATTTCCGCCTTGAGTTTGAGAATTTCGGGCCAAATTCAGATGAATTGCAGTTTGTACCAAAACAAATCTCCAAGTCTTTTGAAAACTGAATGGCAAAATTGTGGCCAAAATGGCAAAGTTGTTACTAAAGCCGAGTTTCAGAATTCTAAATAAAAAAATAAGCTAGTTTCCCTAAATTTTTCAATTATGTTTTCAGATCACTACAATTCAATGTACACTGAATAAACCCCAAGGAATCGACTCAGCTCTCATTCAGTCAATATTTATTTTAGAAATCTAAATGGGCTGCAACAAAATAGGGCATAATAAATATTTTGCCTCCTTTATTCCAGAAAGTACTTGTGAAATCTTTGCAAAATGTTTGGAAGATTAATATGTGATGTACACACAAATATAAAATACAAATACAAATAGCATCTAACTTTATTTGTTGTATTTAAACATCTTTTTAATCTCAGAATGTGAAAAATACATTTTGTGCTTCAACATTATATCCTTTTATATTGGTTTCTGGTAATGAAAAAAGCCAGACTTGATGCGATGACTTGCCTATAACATGTTTTTCATTGGGATAGAACTAGTGCATAAGATACTTTTTGCATTACACTGTAATACACCTGCATTAAAATCAGAATGATGGTGTAGCAACACATTTACGTGCTTTGGGTAATATATCTACTATCCGTTATGTCAACTTGCAAGAGGCATTTAGAGCTGTTTGTAATTGCTGAATAGAATTGATTTTTTCACAACATTAAACAGGTTGCCTATGCTTTGATGACTTGGATAGACCTTCATAGGAAATGGGCTGATCCCAAGTAACTGTCTGCGGCAGTTTTAAAGTCTACACCTTTGACCTTTTGTCCGTTTAGTGATAGGTTTATTATACGCATGTTTTGATTGATTTTTCTATGAATTAATTAAAATAAATAAATGCTAAACGTGACCTCAAATAGCACTAGCTGATTGGAACTGTAACATGTCTTTGCCCAAATGCAAAAATCTTGGGGCTCATCCGAAATGAAAACTTTGTGAACCTTACACTAATAGAGAGGTGGGTTATATCATGATACAGCAATACCTCTTTAGATTACATTATATACACTCATTCTAATACCATTGTGTTGCTGATGCTCTCTGGGGATCTCAAAAACAGTTGGAAACAAACACATATTGCACAGTCAGGTATGTAATGCAATCTCACCATGCTACGTAACTAATAGAGGGGTGAGCAGCAAAGTTATTTTCCCCGACATTCTCTCCCAAACTGGGAGGCACCACCCATTCTCCTAAGTACCCTAGGAGAGCACTATACTACTAATTTTTCTTTTTTTTCATAGGCGGCTGTTCTAAGAAGCAGCTGCCTGATGTAAATTATAAACAAAAAACCTCAGATATATTCCTCCCCCTCACATCCTGAGTTTTAGCCCACAAAAGTAGTCCCCTAACAATGAATGTGCATCTCTGAGTTGCTAAATACTAAGTACAACGTAATGTGTGGCCCTGTTCTGCTGACTCAGTGTGTCAGCAGAGTAATAGACTATATTTTCAGCCGTTCTTAAAGCATCACCTTAAGGTGATATCTTTTTGGCAAAATAAAATATATTTCTAGCACTAATTGTTGAAATTACCATGTATCATTGAAGTTGTGTCTTTCAATATATCATGTGTTATTTGTCTCTACTTGTTGTAGTGTAGTCTGAGAAATGAAATTGTTGTCTGTGCACTTTTGTCCACTGAGCTGACTTCTAGCGTTGTGGACCTCTGGAGAGAGAAAGATACAACAGGGGATAATCACCAAAGGTTGAAAATGTTCTGACACATCCATTCTCTGTGTATGGACACTTGGGAGCTGTTGATATAGCCAAAGACTTAAGTTATGTTATGGGTGAACCCATAACCCACTCAGAATTTCAAACCTTATTGGCATGAGGTATGGATCAAAGAACAGTGATGTGATCAAAGTGACTGACATAGCTTAGAACCGACTGTGCTGCATTCTGCAGAAACTGGAGGATTCTGACAAGTACACAGGGATGAACTACCTAAAGTGCACCCCCCATAGTCTAGACTTGTTGAGAAAAAACAAGACACGTACAAGAGCTCGTCTATTGTAAATAATTCAGAACTTAAAGTAGGTGAAAATTTTATAAGATTAATCAAATATGCAGGGGAAACAACATGAGCATAATTTATAATTTATTGTGCATCTTTTTACTGCAAGTAAAATAGGTTATTTTTTTTATTACGCTAGAATGGAATAATAAAAAAAAAAAAACAACATATTTTTTATTAAGAAAAACGACAAGAAAGAATGGAGAGGGAGGTCTAATCCCCTAAGGGGGGGGGAGGGGGTAGGAGACTACCCTGACCATTCAAAAGATACCTCCTACTATAAAATCACATAAATTAGGGTATATAACCTTTATTGAAGTATATATACAAATTATTATTATTATACAAATACTGCCAAATGTATCTAATGGCAGTAGAAAAGAGAAAATGTCCCTTTATGGTTACAGGGAGAGCACAATGTAGGGGAGGTGTATAGAAAGAGATAGGTAAGAAGATGACTGTATAAATGGATAAAGAGGTACATAAAGGGGTAGAGACCTAAAGAAAAAAAATATATATAAGATAGAAATATAGTTCTGGATTATATATATAGGTCGCCTAAGACACCCCTTTATAGCACTGTTCCAACTAAACCTACACCATACGTCTAAATGCTGCTTGAAAGGCAGCCTATCTAAATCCCCTTAATAGCTAGAATGAGCCAACATAGTCTCTTAGGGACATCTCCAGATTAGAAAAAATAAGTAAAAGACATAAAGCTAAAGTCTACTAAAGCTGGAGTCTCAAAATGTGTGATTTTCCAGCTAAAGCCTGCCTGGAAAGATCGTAAATAGCTTCGGCTGCAACCAAAATCTCAGGTAAGCGTAGATAGCATCAGCTATTGCTGTCTAAACTCGAAACAAAAGATTAGCATCGGCTACAACTGTCTACAGAGTATATAGAAAGCAATAGCTACAACTAAAACCTTAAATCAAATGGTTGGCGTCCGCTAAAGCTATCTAAACTCGACGCGCGTTTCGGCATTTTCAAGCACGCCTTTATCAAGAGCTCTTTAGGTTTAGTTGGAACAGTGCTATAAAGGGGTGTCTTAGGCTACCTATATATATAATCCAGAACTATATTTCTATCTTATATATTTTTTTTTCTTTAGGTCTCTACCCCTTTATGTACCTCTTTATCCATTTATGCTGTCATCTTCTTACCTATCTCTATCTATACACCTCCCCTACATTGTGCTCTCCCTGTAACCATATAGGGACATTTAGTCCATCCTTTTCTCTTTTCTACTGCCATTAGATACATTTGGCAGTATTTGTATAATAATAATTTTTATATATACTTCAATAAAGGTTATATACCCTAATTTATGTGATTTTATAGTAGGAGGTATCTTTTGAATGGTCAGGGTAGTCTCCTCCCCCCTCTCTTAGGGGATTAGACCTCCCTCTCCATTCTTTCTTGTCGTTTTTCTTAGTTAATTGGGGTTAAGCCCCTATTACCTCCTGTAACCTTCTCCCTTGAGGGAATAGTGGGGGGTTTGTCTACCTCCACTACTCCTTCTTTCGCTCAGTTCGTATTTTTTATTAAATACTAAACTTTGTTGCAAAGTTATGGGTTACAAAGGACAAAGACTTGAGTTTATGTATAATTCTCTTGATAGGAATAATTACTCTTGTGAAATTTTGAGACTTATATAAATAATTGTGTGAGCTATGAAATGAGTGTGGTCCGCGTGGTCATATCTTTCCTTGCTTAAGAAGGTTTTACATATAAGAACAGGAAGGGATAAGAGGTATTTTTGTATTCTCACATGGCAATTTCAGATGTATGAGTAAGCCTAGCTTAGACATATATTGTATGTACAAAAAAGCTTTAACTATGATCATATAACTTTTTGTTATAAACAATTAGCAATTATGTATTTATTGGCATCAACAATTGGATAAAAAAACACTTTCATCTACAACCACTTACTGTCTCATTAGAGATTTTGCATTTTAGCTGAAAGAAGCAAGATGATTTGTTAGTGTAGGACTCACCTAAGAGTCTTGCCTTGACGTGTCAGGTGAGATTGCACATTAATGGCCATTGTAGTGATACTAAAAACCCTCCCATTATTTAAATGTGCATAGGAATTTGGGATAGTACGCAAGTAACTTTTGTCTTCAATAATTAGTAATATATATTACTTGAGTGCATATTTTATAACTAGCAATCATGAATTAATCATTAGGAAATGGACAGTAATTTTTCATGATTCATATAAAAATGCAAGCTAGTTATTAATAAAACTGAACATTACAGAAATGGCAGATTCTATAAATATTTTATCTTCATGAACATGTAATAATTTCAACGAATAAATTGTTTAATTGACCCTGACAGATCATCAAGTGTCATCGTCTCTTTAGCCCATGTCTATAATGCACAAATAGTTTTACTATGGATCAGATTAAGTGTTCGTCATAGTGATGCAAATGGGGTCATCTTTTCTTGCTCATTTCAGTTACAGATGCAATGTCTCAGTAACATAAATAAACTGTTAGCAGGTAACTTGCAGAGTTTTCTATAATTATCTGACTGCATTAAAATAGTATTAGGCTAATTCTACAACACGTCAATATGTAAGCAGTATGGCCATTAAAAAAAAAAAACACTTTTATTCTTACGGCAAAATTATATTTTTACAGTATCGAGGGAGCTGATGAGTATGGTATTCAATATGTGCACTCATTAAATTTATATATTTTTTGTATTCCAATGAGACAGGGTAATCGTGTAATTGCATAGAGAATGTTAAAATTAATAAGAGCTATACTAAAACTATTAGACTGCAATGTCCATTCTAAATGTGCTTAGCACCGAACTGCACAACCTGCGGTGAGAATGTGTCACCAGGGACCCTGTTGTGCTCTGCTGCTCTTTAAATGTGCCCCTTAAATAGAGCCTGACACTACCTCCCAACTAGAACTTAGCAGCATTGGGGGAGAAGGCAGAGAGATGGGGAACATGGACTCAAAAAAGCCTCTGACTCCAACAGCCTCAGCCAGAGCAGGACAACAGGGAGGCCATGCTCCTGCATCCAAAAGTAGGAAACTGAAAGGTGGCTAAAAAAAAGTGTCAAATTTGACTTGAGTGTGTTTCAGTGTTGCTATCTTTTTTGTCTGTATCTGTATGTGTGTCAGTGTGTATCTGTGTGTCTGCATGTATGTCAGTGTTTATATGTATGTGTCTGTGTATCTGCATGCTTGTCAGTGTGTGTATCTGTATGTCTGTATATCTGCATGTGTGTCAGTGTTTGTATCTGTGTATCTGCATGTGTCCGTGTGTGCAGGGCCGGCCTTAGGCCTTCAGGCGCCCTGTGCGAAAAATCTTAACAGCGCCCCCTCCCCCCCCGCGCCATCCATGTGTATAGGGGATTTATTAAATGAAAAGTTAACAATTAACAAATATTTATCACCTCTTCCCTGTCATTACCTTGCATGGAGGGAGGGCATGCTGATCTCTGGTGATCAGAGCTTTCCTGTGGTAATCCGCGGCAACGTTCTGATTGGCCGGAACTCGGAAGACAGCTACATTTATCATGTGTGTGTCAGACGTGATTGTGTGATGTGTTCTCTGTGTGCCATATTTGTAATGGGTGTATTGACTGTGTCTGATATGTGTGTGTATTGACCGTGTGTGATTTTTGTTCACTATAGCAGTAGATAGGGGGAGCAGGGGCACTGGGGTAGATGTGGGAGCAATGCACTATAGCAGTAGATAAGGGGAGCAGTGTCACTAGGGTAGACAGGGAACAATGGCAATATAGGGGGAGCATGGGCACAATAGGGATGGATAAGGAGCATGGGCACTATAGGGGTAGATGGAGGGATCAGGTACACTATAGGGGTAAATGGGGAAGCACTATAGGGGTAGATGGGGAGCAGGGGTGCTATAGTGGTAGATCGAGGAGCAGGGGCACTATAGAGGTAGATAGGGGGAACTATAGAGATAGATGGGGAACATGGGTACTATAGGAGTAGAGGGGGCACTATAGGAGTAGAGGGGGCACTATAGGGGTAGAGGGGGGCACTATAGGGATAGATGGGGAACAGGTGTACTATAGGGGGAGCAGGGGCACTATAGGGGTAGAGGGGGAACAGGGGTACTATAGTGGGAGCAGGGGCACTGTAGGGATAGATGGGAACAGGGGTACTATAGGTGTAGATGGGGGCACTATAGGGATAGATGGGGAACAGGGGTACTATAGTGGGAGCAGGGGCACTGTAGGGATAGATGGGAACAGGGGTACTATAAGGGGAGCAGGGGCACTATAGGTGTAGATGGGGGCACTATAGGGATAGATGGGGAACAGGGGTACTATAAGGGGAGCAGGGGCACTATAGGTGTAGATGGGGGCACTATAGGGGTAGAGGGGGCACTATAGGTATATATGGGGAACAGGGGTACTATAGGGGTAGAGGGGGCACTATAGGGAACAGGGGTACTATAGGGGTAGAGGGGGGTCACTTTAGTGGTAGAGGGGGAACAGGGTTACTATAGGGGTAGAGGGGGGCCCTATAGGGATAGGGGGCACTATAGGGAATGGGGGGGTTACTATAAGAGTAGAGGGGGCACTATAGGGATAGATGGGGAACAGGGTTACTATAGGGGTAAAGGGTGCACTATAGGGGAAGAGGGGGGCACTATAGGGATAGATGGGGAACAGGGTTACTATAGGGGTAGAGGGTGCACTATAGGGGAAGAGGGGGGCACTATAGGGATAGATGGGGAACAGGGTTACTATAGGGGTAGAGGGGGGCACTATAGAGATAGATGGGGAACAGGATTACTATAGGGGAAGAGGGGGGCACTATAGAGATAGATGGGGAACAGGATTACTATAGGGGAAGAGGGGGGCACTATAGGGATAGATGGGGAACAGGGGTACTATAGGGGAAGAGGGGGGCACTATAGGGATAGATGGGGAACAGGGTTACTATAGGGGTAGAGGGGGGCACTATAGGGATAGATGGGGAACAGGGTTACGATAGGGAAGAGGGGGCACTATAGGGGAAGAGGGGGGCACTATAGGGATAGATGGGGAACAGGGGTACTATAGGGGTAGAGGGTGCACTATAGGGATAGATGGGGAACAGGGTTACTATAGGGGTAGAGGGGGGGCACTATAGAGATAGATGGGGAACAGGATTACTATAGGGGAAGAGGGGGGCACTATAGGGATAGATGGGGAACAGGGGTACTATAGGGGGAGCAGGGGCACTATGGTCTCACTTACCAGGCAGCAGATTCAGGCCTCGGTTAGCTCCGCCCCCGCCGACCACTTGGCTCCGCCCCCATCGGCTGCTTGGCTCCGCCTCCTACAGTCTCTTTCGCTGCTAAGCCCTGGTAGAGGGCAGGGGGTGTGCAAGCTGTCAGCCATAGGGCCCCCCCTGCTGCCATGGCGCCCTGTGCGGCCGCACAGCTCGCACACCCCTAAGGCCGGCCCTGCGTGTGTGTATATATCTGTGTGTGTGTATTTCAGTGTATGTATCAATGTGTCTGTGTATCTGCATGTGTGTCAGTGTGTGAATCTGTGACCTGTATAACTGCATGTGTGTCAGTGTGAATATTTGTGTCTGTGTATCTGCATGTGTCATTGAGTGTATCCATATGTCTGCATGTGTGTCAATGTGTGTATCTGTGTGTATATGTGTATCAGTGTGTGTGTGTAGCAGTGCATGTGTATATGTGCATACATCTCAGTATTCAAATGCCAACAAAAATACACCTCTGTATTAAAACATTAACATTACATATAAACACACCCAATCATTCAAAAACCACTACACACATGAACTGCATTTCCCATTATCCCAGTCAGCACATTTATAACATCTACAGTGCAGAGGCTACCCATCACTTGTCTAAATACAGGACTATCGAAGGACGCTGTTTTAGTATCATCCACAAATGTCGGCTAAAGGCTATGATGAATTGTTCCAGAGAAGACAGGTGGCATCGCCTGCAAAGGAGAGATTTCTTTGTGCAGCAGATCTTTGTTGGTCGTAAAGAACATGATAATTCTAACAGTGTGTGTGAAGTTGCTGAGATAGAATACAAGTGGTTATCTTTACAGTTCCAACTCTCCGGATTACTCATAAAATCTATGCACAAAGAGGTAACACTTTGCGTATTTTCACTGGACGAAACACAGCTCAATTTTTTTTAAACAGAGACTCGTAATGTTATGTAAGGTATCCTTTATTATCTCTCACATCCACAGAGAATGACTAATTTGTCTAACATAATCCTGCACCTAAATCATGCCGTTGTTATTGTAATAGATAATAAGCCAAATAGATTTTCAGAAGCCACATAGTATCTTTTATATACCTAGCTTATACTACAGAAATGTTCTCCTATTATTCTGAGCACATTGTACGAGTATGCAAAAAGAATATTAAGAAGTATTTATATTTCATTTTGAAAACGGAAACATTTTGAAAACGAGTGGTGGCCTTGCTACACCGGATGTCTATTCAGTAATGAATCAGATGTTAGTTCAGATGTACTATTTGAAAAAAATGATTGTTGGTACTCTAATATTTAGATGTATTAAATGAACCTGTTTTTAAATGGTCCCATAAGTGTCTTTGATTATTCAACTAAAATATTTATTTTGAGCATAGATGTATGAAGGGAGCATTTTAAAAAGAACTCGAGAACTTGAGGATTATGGTGCAAACGCCATTTTTAGATGGACCTAGTAATCATAGACAGTGTGATTGATAAGTCACATACCTGAAGATAGTCTTCTCCTTCAAACCACTAGAAATGGGCAGAGTTGTGTGGAGACACTGCCCCAGGTAGCACCTGTAGCAGACATCTGAAAAATGGCCAGTGGAGTTATCGCTAGACTGTAATGTAAACATGGGCTATTCTCTGAAAAGACAGTGTTTACTACAAAAAGCCTAAAGGGAATGATTTTACTCACCAGAACAAATACAATAAGCTATAGTTGTTCTGGTCACTATAATGTCCTTTTAAACAAAGTGAAACTTCTGAATTATACATTTGTTATTTACAGGAGTGAAAATTGTCAGAAATTCTGATAGAATTTTAACTTCAAGGCCAAAGTAGCTGAGATGTAATCGTAGCTGACTTGGAGATTTTTTCTTGTATTTTGGTCTTAAATGTCAAATTGACTTTGAATTCCCTTTGAACCTCCAACAATTCTAACTTTGGTGAAAATCCATGTGTATATTTTCTAGTATACAACATATTTAAATAAATAAATTTAAAAGGGAAAAAAAATTACAAGAACATACAAGAAACAGCAGTAAATGGAGAGATGGCTGCCTAATTGACATGTTTTGATCTGGATTTATATTAAGATTTCACAAGGGCTTATGAAGACTGGATGGACTTACAATAGCTGTACATCTAACTTTCCAAACCATTTCTTCTCAACTTCTCATTTTCTTATGTGATCTCTCACCCATGCACTATAGAACGAATAAAGACTTGCCTCCATGCATGGTCCACAGTTCCATTTTTTTATGATTAGCTCTATTGAAAAACAAAGATGAAATTGACAAAATCTACACTGTAGGTGTGCACGAAGAGTGACTTGGGAGCCATTGTAATAAATTATTTCATAAAGTGTGTAAAAAAAGATCTCAGTTTTAACGCTTAGGACTAGAAAATAAATATATTTAATATACACGCTAGCTTATTATCTTGAAGTCATTAATATGCATCGCTGGTAGGTTCATTTCTAAAACTTACACAAACCTCAATTATTTTCCAAGGGTAACTATGGATTTAATTTGATAGATAAAATTGTCTTTTAGGTACTTAGCACACTGGGCACGATCACGATTCTCTTATGAATTAAACTTGGTCTGCAAATATCTGCAGTGAAATTCTCTTCATAATAGTTACTCTGCAGAGGAGGATCGTTTGTGAAAAGTAGGCATTATGTAAATTTTAAATGCTATTTTTAAATGTCTTCAACACAATTTCAACATTTGATGACTTGCTATCCTCACATTTAATAGGATGTGTCAGAAAATGAAAAAGAATAGAAATTATTATGTTTAGTCTGATTTATTTTAGAGCATACATATACAGTACAGCTATATACAGTCATAAAATTTCCCATGCATTACAATGCTCTTGTGTAAGATAATCAGTAATAGCGACAAAAAAATACTGTATATTGATGACATTTTTTTTCTTTATCTAGTAAGTGCTCCTCTATGTGTATTTAGATTGCAATCACAAGTCTTTTTGAAATTAAAAGAGAGTTGCAAGAGGCAGTAAAATACCTGGCTTTTTATATTGTATGGGATTGCTTTGCTAGAAACAGTTTTGGATTGTAGATTTATGTCAATATTGTAAACCAGGACATCACTTGCAATTGGTCTTCTTCATACTGATCCTGGGAACTTGCAAGATTTACCTTTATAGAGCTTGCATTATGTTAATATATACACTACAGGGACACTGCAGGCACTGTAAATGCTTCATCTTATTGGGCCCCTGGCACCATCTTTCCTTTTAGTGTTAAACCATGTGTAGTGTTTTAATGCTATACTGGAGTGCCCAACAGCACATCCCCTCTCTGCTGATCAGGCTAATGAGGAAGCATTAGCTAGAGCAGCAATGGACAGTAGTGATGTCGCGAACCATTCGCCAACTTGCCGCGAACGGTTCGCCCCGAACCGTTTGCGGCAAACTCCGGTCAGCTGACACATCCCTGCCAATCTCCGGCATACCCTCCCTCCCAGACCCTCCCACTTCCTGGACAGCATCCATGTTGAAGGCAGATTCAACATGGATGCTGTCCAGGAGGTGGGAGGGTCTGGGAGGGAGGGTCTGCCGGAGATTGGCAGGGATGTGTCAGCTGACTGGAGTTTGCCGCGAACCGTGGTGAACCGTTCGCGGCAAGTTCGCGACATCACTAATGGACAGCTGTGATTGGTTGAGAGTGTCACCTGACTGCTTTTAACCTATCACCAGGCTCACTGCAAGTATAAATTAGGATGCCAAAAATTAGGTGTGTAATATCTGCCGTAGCCACACCTTCAATAGGGGCCGGCCTGTGGGTTGTCAGGAGTCCTTATTTAGTGTTAAATTGTGTAAAAACAGTTTAGCACTGAATGCAAAGACAGTTCCAGGGGACTCCTGGTACCATAATCAATTCAATGAGATGAAATGGTTAAAGTGCCCACAATGTCCCTTTAAGAAAATACGATATTGATATTGGCCTAAAATCTCATATTTTTCTTGGTACAAAATATTACCATATAGAGATTACAATCCCCCATGTATTATATATAGTTTGATTTTTCTACAATTTTTTTCCAAACGCAGAGCTATAATTTATTTTTTTGCTGCATAAAAAGTGCATCTGTCCCAAAACTACAGACAGACACAAAAGCTGTGTCCCAGCCAACTGCCCTCATTTTAACTTCATTAAATGCTTGCTATAATAAAATAACCCATTATCAAATTAACCTTAATGAAGAATGGAGATAATGAACCATTAATTAGCATGCCAATTTAAATAGAAACTAGCATAAAAATGAAGTAATTTATGATTTATTGCTTTCTTCAGCTCAATTCTTAAATCCATTACTCACTTCTTGTCTTGGTTACATGGTCTTAAAACACAGTAATTATTCTGTTAAGTTTAATGCATGAGGGGAATGAAAAGGATGACATTTTTAAGCAGGAAGCACATCTGCAAAATGGTTTTATCTAATGTACATAGCATCCCTGCTGTCAGGGCTTCACAAAAAGAAAAAAGTTTTTTTTTATGTGCTGTCATGATTCATGGAGGTATATTGAGTTGCCTTAGATTAGAGTCAAATTCCCAATATATAACAAAGCTACAAGAGTGAGATATTATATGTGGAGAAGGAACCTAGTAAAACCATTCCTATTCCTCCATTGGTTACAGGAGAATAAAAGTAGATTTAAACATGATTTGTGACATTTACCTAAGTTTCTGACTTTTTTATTTCCATGTTGCAAAAGAAAGTGCCCCTTTCTAGACCAGATGATTCATTTTTAGTCTAATAGTCCAGTTGTGGCTCACCTGTACCCACTGCTTCAGTTTTATGTTCTTGGCTGACAGGAGTGGAATCATGTGTGGTCTTCTGCTGTAGTCCATCCATATCAACACCCAATGTGTTGTTTGTTTAGTGACATTTCAGTTATGGATTCCTTATTGTCTGAACCAGTCTGTCCATTCACTATAGACCACTATGTGTTGAAACCTCAGGAGATAAGCAGTTTCTGAGATACTCAAATCACCTGTTTAGCACCAATACATCAATATACATTCAATGGTAAAAATCAATTAGATCACATACACACATACATACATTTATAGATATATAAATACATTCAATAACCACCGGCATAGATTTAAGATGCATTTTTTTTTTAACTCTACTAGATTTGAAAAATAAAATCAAGAGTTCTATTAAAGCTGTGAACATTTCAGTAGGTTTGTTTTTAGTAACCATATGTGTGATTAGAAATTATTCACATTTTACTTAAGCCAATATATTGGAATAACCATATGAAATATTTTATATCAATTGTGTGACTTAATTTAAAGACTTTAAGTATCTGAATAAAATGGGCTCTAGGAAAAGAATTTCATTAAAATATCAGAATTTGCATAAAGTATAAAGGATTAAAGATTAGAATTAGGCTATAAATGTTAATTTATAACAACGTTTGTAGATTAACTCTATCTCTGTCACTTTACCTGTTTTGAATACTGTATCTGTGTATTCCCCTTATTTGTCCCAGGTAGATCTCCGTAGTGTTTTAGTTGGGGACCCTTTTCTCATTGTAGGGAGTGCTACATCACCTGGGTTAGATTGATATTTCTCTCCCAGTGCTGCTATACACAGAGAAAAAATTCAAGACTATTTAGTTCATTATTCTCAAGAAATGTTAAATACTTCATCAAAATCTCCTTTATTGAGTAAGTTATTATTGGTAGTATTAGCATTTATATAACACCAACAAGTGTCACAGTGATATTAAATTTAGATAATGGGATACGTGACAAGTAAATAAAAAGAAATATTGAAAGAGAGTAGAGGTTACAATCTGGGAGGAACACAAGGAACATATGCTGAAAAACAACATGTCGGAGGGGAGGAACATTAAAAGCACAGAAGAAGCCTACTTAGTTATAATCCAAATTCACAGAAGTGGGATGAAGACAGGTATAAGTAGCCATTTCTTTCTGAGAAACAAAACAATATACACAAGATGGACAAATGCTAATTAATCAGACAGTAGATTACCTTGGCATTAAATATTGAAAAAGGAGAAGCCCCTTAGCACCCCATAAATGGGCATAAAGCAACAAATACAACAGTCTGCACCTAATAACAAGCAGGTAATAGATTTCTGCAGAAAACCTTAACGAAGTCCAGGGGACACAGTCCAAAATTGTCAATTTTTACCATATGATCTTGCTTCTTACAGAGCCTGAACCTTTTTTCCTTGGGTACATATAAAATAAAAGAAAGACAAGAGCCAATGGTGCAATATTTTTTAATAAATGAAAAGACTCAACAAAAATGTGTGAATGCCCACTCACATGATATACAGCTTCAAAGAAGCTCCTATCGCAATGGCATATATTGGCATAATCCCCACTTACGAATGAGTGTCTTATGTGTTACTCTATTGATTTTCAGTGACGGATATGCAATAACAAAAGAATTAAAAGAAATAGTGTGATATTGTAAGTTTAAAGTGAGTAAAATAAAAATTAGGAAATACACTCACAAAAGAGTAGCTTACATGTCAAGCTCAAGATATCAAACAGGACGTGCCTCAAGAATGTATATTTGCCACAGTTCTTCAGCAGCACAGATGTTAAATAGAAAAGAAAAAAACACAATATAGTTCTCACGTAATAAACTCACATTTATTTGAGCAGTTGAATGCTGCTCAATGTTGATAATTAATGCACCACTGGTTCATTTCTCACTGAGTACCCAGAAATAATGTGTTTGATTAATGCATGTAAAATAATTCCTGAAGAAATAGCATCTGGTAATATGAAAAAAGATTTATTTTGAAAAAAGATTTATTTTATACATTACACGTAATCCATCAACCTTGTGCCCAAAATAAGGGTAGGGGCTAAGTCTTTATCAACTGACTTTCCAAAGTCACCGAGTGTTCTGACAATATTATTAGTTCCCTGTTTTATCAGCACGATACTCATGGAGAATGCTTCATGGGTTTTTTTTTATTCTTTTAGATCAACAACAACAGGACTACAAAGAATGTTGAAGTTGATGTACATTATAATCTAACATACCTTTTTTTAACTTGTACTTGTGTATGTTATCTTCTATAAAAACTAAGTGTAAACATTTGTTATCCCATTAAACTACAAATATAAGCAAATAAAAAAACAACATTTTATTGATTGTAAGGTTAACAAGATTAAATGTTTGTGAATTACTGTTAAGTGGACTCACGGGAACAAAACAAGAATGTCACAATTGTTTCTTCTACAATATATTTTCTATTTTCTTCAGTCTTTATTGGAATTAGGAAATATTTTACTACAAGTTATTTCAAGACAAGAAAAATAAAACATTTTCTATTACTTGCAATAAAAAAATGTATCAGCATACCAATTTTCATTTTAATTTGATATCCAATATTTGAATACACAAGAAAACAAGATAAATATGTTTTTATTGATATGTGTGCAGTTTAGAACTCCTTTGAGTAAAATGATGCTCAGTAACACGGAACAACCTCCTCTGGGCTGTAGGGTAAAAATAATTAGTGTACTGCATGATATGCTTATTGCACCTTATTTGAAATAAGATTGCCCTGAGGAGATCCATAAAGAGCAACAAGTGCTCCCACCTTAATAACCAATCTTTTCCTTTCTTCTTCAATATGGATTATTGCCACTGAATGTGGGATCAGCAATCAGTGCTTCACACAGTGACCTAAGGGATGGTAAAATATTGCAGAATGGGACATACGATGATAGGCAAGGTGCTCACTTTTTGACATATTTTTGATTATGATCAAATGTTCCCTGAAGCGTATCTTTCAAGTGCAGTAAATAATTGATTGATCGGCCTAACAGATTTCAGGTTTGCAATTTTAAAAAGATAAGTTTAATTTAAAACATAATTATACCGTAGACTTTAGCTATTACCTTGGCTAAGTTTCTTTAAAAGAAGGTTAAGTAAAGCACACTCTTTAGCTGTTTGAGTGTATTAACACACCATATTATAATGCAGATGGTCAAAAGTATATGGACACCTGCATATCCAATACCTCATTCCAAAAATAAGGATTACAGGTATGTATTTATTTGAAGTGGTCACTGATTGGTTTTATCCTCTGCCCTTCTGGGAAGACTTTCAATAATGAGAATTCTTTTGTTAGATGAATATGTTTTTTTTTTATCTATAAGACATATCAAGTGGTTGACCATTGCTATTGTTAGATTAGGTCAGGCTCACATTGAGAAGTACATTATTTCTCATAAGTTGTCATTGAGATTTGAGGTTATATATCATTTAACTTGTATATAATCTATAATGATAGTGTGTAAACATTTTGCACTTTTATTATGTACTTGTATCTTTGATTATTGGATTGGAGTCAAATTAACCATGATACATTGCCCAAATCAGTATTCCTTCTACACCAAACATTACAGTTGGCACAATGTAGTCAGATAGGTCATATTCTCCTGGTACCTGCCAAATATATATTCAATTATCATATGGACACACATGATACAGTTTGCATATTCAACCTGGGACTCAAACAATGCAGAAATAAAACAACAGGCTTGTGCATTGGATTTCTTTGAAGATTTCTCTAAGAACCCTTCTCCAACCCATGGAACAAGTAGAAAAATAGACAAGAAGAATGTATACTGTTTGAATAAAGTTTAAATTAGACTGAATATCACTTAGATAACATAAATGCTATGTCCTTCAGCATCTCTCTTTAACCTAGATTGAGCCTTCCATATTGATGTATGGAGAAGAGTTATCTGTAAACCCTCTCTTTAACACTAAAATATTGCAGTTGGGACACTAACCACTAAGGCAGCTCTTAATGCCATAAAGGTGGGCAGTTTGGTTTATCATTGCCTTACTAACACTGGCCTTTTTAACGCCTTTGTTTATTTGTATAACTTTATAGAAAATTTAATCATTTTTAAGTTTGGTCTATAATTCTAAATAAAGTGTAACACAGTGAAAAATAAAATTACTAGAATTACACCAGCAGGCCTATGTTTATTTTATGAGGGATAGTTAATGGAAAAAATGTAATGTACTGTGCTTTGATGCTGTAGCTGAATTATAAGCTGAATACTCATTGACATTCAGAATACTTTATTATAATTCTAACCGAATGTGACATTTAATTGGGAACGGCCTTTTAAATGTTTACATCTGAGGACATCTGCCAGTAATGTAGCTAATATGGCATTTTGTAAATGCTGCAGTTTTGCAAATAAGATGAAAAAAAAATCAAGTTTTTTTCTTGAATCCTACTGATGTAAATTTTCATTATTTAACATACTAAATATAACATATCCTGTGAGGGTATGCTAGCTGCACAGAGGTTTTGCAAAAAATGAACACAAACTGTATATCTATCATAGAATATCAAGGTCAGTTCGCATAGGCGCAACTACTGCTGCCCAGAATTACTAAGCTGTTTATGTATTAAATAGGGAATTTTAGTCAATTGAATAGCAAACAGGAAAATTTAAAAAGTGCTGATTTAGAAAGATTTTACTTCTTCAAACGTTTGACTAATTTAACTTCTCGTAATTAACCAATTTGTTTTTTAAAATAACTGCAATTCTCTGTTAGAGTAATTTATCCCTGGATGCCATCAATACTAACAAAACAAGGTTTTTCTTTGCAAAAAAAAAAAAGGGTATGCTAAAACATTAACAAAATTCATTTAAAAGACAGTAGACTCTCTTCATCTCTTCATGCTGCTTATCTCGGACTTGTTTACATGCTTGTTTCAATTATATACAGACACGTTGGTAATTGGTAAAATGACTGTCTCTATTTTTCAGAATAACCAACAGGTTTTATGCTACAAAATTAATGCTCAACAACTGGTAAATATTGGCTGCCATAGCTGTCTGTTTCTCTTGTCCCCATTCATTAAAGTGCCAATTACAAGAGAAATAAGTACCTTTGTGAAATAATTTGGGAACAACCACAGCTGTCCTGCTTCTCTCTGCTTAATGATCATTCTGGAGGAAGTGAGAGCTACCATAGAGAAGCATTAGTCAATGCTTCTCGTGACAAGTATCCTGCTAGGCAATTACCGCATATAATACTTGCATTCATGGCAATGGACCAGCATGCACCATTTTTTTCTAAACAGGACATTATTTCCTTTGTACAGTGTTTTGAATTATATTGGTGCTCTATACATAATATTGTCTGGAGGTCACCTGTCCAATCAGATTATTGTATATACTTACTTTAATACAATAACACGTGGACAGGTGATCTAAGTAGACTTGCAAATGGCGAAATTTGGTCATATGTTGGTTCAGTTTGGCAGAATTTTGAAACTAGAAAATTGATTTGGGAACCGATTTGGATGAACCAATATTATGTATATACTTTGCAGTAAACTGATAGTAACATTTCTCCACCACCACTTTGAACCAACAGAGGGAGAAACAGGTGTAGCAGTAAAATAAATAAATAGATTAAAAAATATATAGGTATATATACCTATAAACATATATAAATGCAGATTTATTTTCACTGTTCCGATTTTTTATCTCTCTTGCTCACTTTTCACTTGATCTTGATTAAAATCAACATTTATTGACATTAGGTACATTCCTGTTCGGAGTTCGGGAATTCAACAAATCACCCAATTGGCTCATATTTGTCCAAATTGCATTTTGAACCAAAACAAATCTGCAAGTGTAATTGGCAGAAAAAGCTTTCTTCAAGTTATTCCAGTAGTAGCACAGCCGAAGCTGACTGTAAAATAAATTCGTTCTTGAGGTTAGATTATTTGATGTAAAGCAGTTTAATGGTTGTGATTTAAATGTGAATCTATTAAAACAGAGTGATATTAACATATCAATTCACAATGTCCTAAAAATGCACACACTTTCAAAAGCAACTCTTATCACCTTATCATCCTGTTAACTAAATAAAAATTAGAGAAGATCTACTAAATATTACTGTGTATGGACGAAAGGATAAATCTGTATGTAGTGTTAAATAAAAAAATAAAAAAAAAGAAATATATGATATATTGCTAAAACACTATAGGACACATTTAGACACTTTATCAACAAATTTGAATGTTAGAGTAATAGTTTGAGAATGGACACCTAAGGAGTTCTTATACTTGTTTTTTTTGGGGGGTTTGGCCATTGTTATGTAGATATTTATGCACTCCCATAATGTCAAGTGTAGTTTTGCACAGTGTGTAGCTCTTGACTCTGCATATGAGGAATGTACAAATGTGCATATACACAGTGCAGATACCATAAATACAATATATATCTGTATACCAAGGCACTAACGTATTTATGCTATTGTGCAAATGAGACAACACAAATATGCACTAACTTGAAGCAAATGAAAAATAGCTGTTTGCAGTACTGCTGAAATGAGCTTAATCCACGGTATGTAGAAAGTTATCAAAATATGTATAATAACTTTTAACACCTTTGCAAAAAAGCATGGTGTGTGGACCATTCTTTCATTTGGTTTTAGGAGGAAGGAATGTGCTAGTGCAGTGTTTTAGAAGAATAGTTCTGGAATCAGACTCCGGCCATCATTTTAGTAGATTTTAGAAGTCCGTACCTCGCAACATTTCCAATGGACAAAGAGGGACACTCTCATTTCAGCGGTGTGAATAGGGATATGGCAAGGGTCAGGCTGTACTGAGAAATCATAGGCAACCTACTAATAACAATTTAACCCCTTAAGGACACATGACATGTGTGACATGTCATGATTCCCTTTTATTCCAGTAGTTTGGTCCTTAAGGGGTTAAACAACTAATATTTAATTACAAAAAAAAAACAATAATATATTTTATTTACACAGACTGATTTCTAAACACATATTTTGTATACTAAAGACAGATTATTGTGAGTATTGTTTTTGTGGAGCTCTGCTATACATTTAGTCACACCAACAAGATAAAGGTCCTAAAAATGTGGGACATTAACCCCTTAAGGACCAAACTTCTGGAATAAAAGGGAATCATGACATGTCACACATGTCATGTGTCCTTAAGGGGTTAAGATAGAAAAGAGGGACAGAGGGGTTTAGACCAAAAATGGGGACAGTTCATCCTAAATAGGGACAGTTGAGATGTTTGGAACAACTGATATTGTTATATATGCCCCGTGTTCCAACTTTGCACTTATTAGTTTTCCTTGAAAAAAAACTGCTCGAGACAGGTTATTAAACTTTGAAAGAATCTTAAATATTACTACATATTTGGGTGCATTATATATGTTGTTATAATAGATATGAACAAACTGGCCTATTTAGTAAATACAATACTTCTTTTAAATGAATAAATGCTGGTTCCATATGAAAGTTACTTGAATGTTAAAGCAGCACTATCACATATGTGTTCTTTGTACTTTTTGTGGAAAGTAGAACAGATAGAAATATATACTTATATTAAGCTGTACATTATTGGTGTCTCCGTCTTCTCAACACCATATTTCTTTTTGACTACTGTTGACTTTATCTGTTTTATAACTAATGTACAAAATGGTGTCTATCCCACCAGACCACAGGATATTCCATAGTTAATCTTGCAAATAATCACTAAAGTTCATATGATGATGCCTGTTCCCATGCGCCATCCCAACCAATCACGTAAATGGTGACATAAACTTTGCCTTTTGCCAAACATTGCCAAAGGAGGTAGTAGTCCTTCTTTGTCTAATGTATATGTGTTTATTGTGTTGGGATTTCAACGACATTCTAGTAAGTCAAAACAACTTTTCAATAAAGTTTTTTTTTTGTGTGAAATGTTCAATAGTGAAATAGTTGCATTAAAGTTATTTTGTCCGCCCTAAATGTGTATTATCTGTTTACTTTCAGGTACTGATGTATATGAAATAAATTATTTATATCTCTAAGCAACTTTAGTTTGAAATTAGAAACATCATCAAGACAGAATACAAAGAATAATTTTATTGCATTAAGTAGAAAGTGGAATTTTTTTTTATCTAGAGCCTTATGCTAAGAAGGGCTACACATATATTTCATATAGCAGTAAGATAAACTGAGGTTATTTTGCAGAATGTGGAAGAGACTATGATTAAATTCATTAAAGCTAATTACACTGTTAATTAAAGTTTAGCTGACATAGAAATCTTTGCTGTTTACTGACCTGCTTAAAGCTTTGGCCTTTTTAATAGTATAACATGGATTTCATAGTTTATCATTACATTCTAAATGGATGGTTTTTAATAGGGCTATTTCAGTTAGTCAACTTTTCTCTGGTTTGTTTTTCAGGATTCCAGCGACGAGCAGCTCCCCTAATAGAATGAACCCCGCTGGTTCTGATGAATATTTCCAATCTATAAACCATGCAGAGCAGACCTTCCGCAAGATGGAAAACTATCTGCAACAGAAGCAATTGTGTGATGTGCTACTGATTGCTGGGAACCATAAAATTCCAGCACACAGGTAATATGCCAGATGAAACCATGATAAGAATTCTTAGACAATATCATCTGTACATGTTTTAGTCAGCACTAAACATTGGACAGTGCATTTGGCTGAATAGCTACACTAAGCACAGCTATATACGTATCCCAGTAGACCAGCTATGCCTCTACGTAAAGAGACACTTTAACAGGGTGATTTACTAAAGAGAGAATTTAAAGTAAATTCAAAGGGAATTTAAAATGTGAGGTCAAACTAGCTATGCTTCCAGTTTGGCTATTTTGACCTCAAGTATGAAATTACAATGTAATAGAGCAGCAGGAAATGCTAGCAGAATGTTTGGTTGTATAGGGAGAGGTATTAGCAGTAGAAAGAGGGAAGTGCTCACGCCATTATACAGGACACCGGTGAGACCTCACTTGGAGTATTGTACGCAGTTCTGGAGACTGTATCTTCAGAAGGATATTGATACTTTGGAGAGAGTTCAGAGAAGGGCTACTAAACTGGTTCATGGATTGCGGGATAAAACTTACCAGGAAAGGTTAAAGGATCTTAACATGTATAGCTTGGAGGAAAGACGAGACGGGGGGATATGATAGAAACATTTAAATACATAAAGGGTATCAACACAGTAAAGGAGGAGACAATATTTAAAAGAAGAATAACAACCACTACAAGAGGACTTAGTCTTAAATTAGAGGGACAAAGGTTTAAAAATAATATCAGGAAGTATTACTTTACTGAGAGGGTAGTGGATGCATGGAATAGCCTTCCAGCTGAAGTGGTAGAGGTTAACACAGTAAAGCAGTTTAAGCATGCGTGGGATAGGCATAAGGCTATCCTAAATATAAGATAAGGCCAGGGGCTAATGAAAGTATTTAGAAAACTGGGCAGACTAGATGGGCCAAATGGTTCTCATCTGCCGTCACATTCTATGTTTCTATGAATTTACTTTGAATTCTCAATTTAGTAATTAACCCCTGAATGCAGTGTTCTATACATTACCTGCTCTAAGTAATCTGTCCTAAACCCACCACTAGTTTCAATTTCACCATTGCTGTTAGTGAACTCTCATTGACTGTTAATATACCCACAAAAGATGCCAGGTAGGTAATGTTTAAATACAGTAAAGGTTTAAGCTCCAAATGGTTAATGTATAAGGCAGAACAATACTTGAAAAAAATTTTTATTCTCCTCCTGAGTGTTGTTATTTTGTTTGTGAAGAAAACCAAAAATAATAATCAAGGGCCATTTATGATGATCCGGTGGATTTACTATTATGTGAGCTCTGTTTATTTAAATGTCATAAACTCACCAAACATCAATAAAATATGTTTTATTAGAGGTGGAATGTCAGAATAATGCATTGATATGCACTTCCGTGAATAAAGGAACTACTGCGAGTTTACATAGTCCCAACTTTATATGACAAACTTGTTAAAAATTGATATATGCTGCAGGGTATAATTATTCAATAATTAGGAATCACTTTTTCCTTCAAAGTTATGCATATCCCCTATGTTTCAGTTAATTAATTTTAATTGCGTTATACATACATATACCATATAGTTCATTAAAAGTAGCACACCTCCCCAAGTGAAGTGGAATGTGGAACCATAGGAGCCAACTTTACAGGATAAACCAGATTACACAATTTTTTAGCAGAATAAAAAATACTTTAAAAGCTGATATGTGTGTGGGTGGGGTGGGGGAGCAGGGGGTGCATGCTTGTTAAGCTTGTTTAGGTCTTTTTCAAATTTTTTGATTATGTTTTAACTTTCAGTTGCTTCAATAAAGCTAGTAAGATTGATTGCCTTAACAGAGTAACATGCCATCAGGAGACATTCATAAATACAGAGATGAAATGTCCAAATGATCCTAAAACACATAAACAAGAATACAAGTTGGCGACATAGTCAGAGACAGCATGCAGGCAGGAGACAGAGGAAGGGAACTGAAAATCAGAGAGACTTCAAAAATATACAAAATGTTAAGATCTGCTGTATAAAATGTTGGACTCCATCTCCCAATTCAATTGAATGATTAGCTTAATTACTGCAGTACAACTATGGAAATGTCAGCCAATTATAAGGAGTTAGCTATGAAAAGTAACTGAATTCTAAAGGTTTTCCAAGAATGGCATGGTTAAACCAATGATTCTAAATAAATTAATGTTTGATTATTGGATCTCATGCTTCCGATCCATATATCAGGACTTCAAGACCACATGATCTGGCCTTTTTTTCTGTCATTATAGATCTGTTGGGTTCCTATTGTGGGTTTGACTTGTCAACAATGTCTTTATAGAGCTTTACTCCAAGATATCTCGTAAATGGAATGTTAACTTGGCTCTTTATTAGATCAGACTAAATATATATTTTATAGCATAGCATATAGGCTTTGATAGACACAAATAAAACAATCAAATTCTCTTTTGCACACTGCTAGATAATGCATGTCTTTCTCTTGCTGCAACCCAGAGTGTGTAGTTGTTTTTTTGGTCTCATTTATAAACTGCCTTCAGCTGTAGATGCCCAAATAATTGAAAACGTTTTGAGTTTTTGAAAAAAACAATATTGTGTTGCTCTGCAAAGTCTGTAAGCAGTTAACGCATGTTGGATTCATCAGTGGGTCATTTAGTCCCACAAAAGGGGTAGTGCTGATTTAGGACTACAAATGGGGCTACAGAAACAATGCGAATGAGTAAGGAAACAAAATATACAGGTTGTTAGTCTGGGTATGATTGAACCCATAAAAAGCCGAGAACAAATTATATCACTAGAAAAATTATAAATATTGCTTTATCAAAATCTACTTGAAAAATGTAGTATCTGAATATTTTTCATTATATTATAATGTCCAAAGACACATATGTACAAAAATATTTGTAAAGCATTTTGCTAGCATGTTAAACACAAGGAAGTGGAAACACCCACAAATGACCCACTGCTAGAAGTTTAAGCTTCAGGAAAACAATGTTTTGTAAAAGAAAAGTTACGGAAAAATTACTGGGAGATTATAAACAAGTTCACAGTCTTGTCTACTGTTTATATTTCAAGGCTGGTTTTAAGTGCTGTTTCGGATTACTTTGCTGCAATGTTTACTAATGACGTGCGTGAAGCAAAAGAAGAGGAGGTAAAAATGGAAGGAGTGGACCCAGATGCACTAAAAGCCCTTGTACATTATGCTTACACAGGTAACCATTAATCTGTTCTTTCTCTTATTATGTATGGATGTAAAACTATAATAATACTAAACTACATGGGGATATACTTACCAAGATTTGATAAACATTATAGAATAAATCATTTTATGATATACAACATAAGCAAGCAGTAGTTAGGATAAACGAGGATTGACCAAATTAATTAGTCAACCACATTAGAAGTTAATAAAGCATATAATAAGATTACAATATACCTGTTGTTTGAGGTATGTTGGCGCTTAATAAATAATCATAATATCACGTATGTCTTATCTCCCTATACAGAGGATAGTAACTATTGTTTGGCACAGTTGGAATCCAAACAAAATAAAATAATAAAAAAATTATGACAAATTGAATGGAGTCTTACGAAGCCAAAACCACTGAAGATAACCATGTTATACAAATAAAGCGTGTGGTTTTCATAAAAAATAGTATATAATAATAATTATAATATATAATTAATAATAATGATAATGCACTTTGTTAATAATTCCATTAAAGGAGAATGCTTTCATTCAATTCTCCAAGCTTGATGGAGGTTATTCATGGTGTGCTGTTTTTGATCATGTGGCCTGTTACAATACAAACAAGTCATCTGTACTGTTCCAGTATCAGGATTGATATTGAAATGATGAGAATAAATTAAATACATAATTGTATTTTTTTTCTTGCTTTTAAATTGCTGCTGTTCAGGGTTCCAAATCACGCCTCTCGCTAGACCCATTAACCTTTTCAATCTTGTCATATTAAAGAGGAACTACCATCTTATCGTTAGTGATAGATCGGTTTTGCTGTTTACCAGTAAATGTTATTGAAGCACTTACTAGAATAAGGTGAGTAGTAGATGTAAGTAGCAGCACATTCAGGTTCATCTTCTAACAATGCACTACAGACACACACATACTTAGCATCTTCTTCGTAGGACATATGCACACTTGTGTGTCATGCACAGTGACTCATGGAATCATCCTACTTAATGCAATGCAGTGTCAGAATATTGTTGAGGTTAATGTCCCCTTTCCCCCCAGAAAAAAACAGCAAAGTTTATAGTTTACTCTCAAGTGACAGCTTCTTAAAATAAAAGTACGGCAGTGGTATCTATGTCATTATTTAGAATATTAGTGCTTCAGTCATCACTTTTAAGGGGATGCTAATTTTGGAACAATCATTATTTTGTTGCCCCATAATCATTCTGTGCTTGTCCTGATGAGTATGTCCATAGTACATTGGTCATTTAGCAATATGTCATCTTCCCTCTGGAACAAAGTTTTTCTTTTCAAGTTTGCTATGTAAAATGTAATACCCATTCCTGCCCATTTATAGATCCCTTCAACAAATTAATTTATGAAAATACCATGTTAAGCCTATGCATTGATGTGTCTGTGATAATGTCTACATAAACACACATTGACTTTCATGAATGCTAATGTTTAGACGATTCTCAAAGTGCAAGTACTGAAACACAAAGGACTTCTACTGCTGTATGCGCAAAGAATAAAATTATAGGGCAAATCTGCATGATAACCAAACAGTGAATCTCTTAAGGGATGGAATAAAATGTTACTCATAGTTAAGTCTCCTTTAATTTGACTATAGCTGCCTATTTTCCATGACATCTCATACATGTAGACGCATACATATATATTCATTAGACTTAAATTTGTCAGGAATTGACATTTTACAATTGCACGTTTAGGGCCAAAAAAGCAAATTTGAAACATTCTTCAATTGGGCAATTTAACTAACTCAGCTATCTTTGGTTTAAAAACTACATTCTCTGGTTAATATCCAACAATTCCTAGTTCAGAAAATAACCATGTGTACATTCTGAAGACCTTCTTTTATGTGTGTTTCATAAGAAGTTTTGTTTGTACCACTTCTGTCTGTCGTATGGTATAAGATCTTTTGGTTTATTCGATTTAAATCACTGAATAAATACAATATTTCTAAATCCAGTACAGGCATCAGTCAGTAATATTTGCAATGTAGAAGGATTACAGAGAACTTCAACTGTTGGATTTAAATCAAGATCAACTTATCCAATTGTCAACATCAATGACTCAAGTCAAAGCCCTAGTACATTCTCTCTAAAACAAAGCTTTTGCGGAATCCTATCTGCAGAATAAAAGAATACACCTGTCTATTAATCTTTACAAAAAGATTAAACAAATGCCCGGAGGAAGCCAAGTTGAATCTAAAACAAAGAATAAGATGAATAATGTTAAAAGAGAAAAGAAAAAAGAAGGGGGGAATTTGTCATTTTATGCTAATGGCATTTTTTAAAATAAAATACAAAGAGATAAAACTGTTGCTGTTTCAACAAAAATGTTCTCATGCAGATTAACAAATTTAATCTCAGAGTTTTACAGGATAGACATTAAAAGATTCACTTCGAGCTCAATCAATAATCATGAATTAATTAATGCCTCTTTAAACATTAGAAAGCTGACTTGTTGCATGTTTTAACTTTTATCTTAATTCCTTTTGGAGTACAAACTCTTCCAGAATGTAGACAAATGGTTTAGGATGGTGAGCTGTGGGATTGGGTATACTGCACTCATATTAACCCCGTCAAGTCAGCCAATATATTTATTTTCATATTTATTTAAAGTCGTATGAGGTTCTATGACTTTATGCTTAGTTGGCTCGGGGCACTTTTAAAAATGCAAGTTTTAGTGCTGAAAAAGACAACAATGGCTACTTTTACTGATGAAAAACAGAAATTGTAAGTTTTCAAAAGTATTAAAAATTGTACATAGGTTTGGATGATATTTTGGATAAAATTATGTCATTCATCAATGTTACCCTTATTTAAGTCAAGGGTGTATTAAAAATAATTAAGTGTGGAGAGTCCAAAACTTTAATTATACAACAAGGAGGAATTATTCTAATTCAGCCAATTTAACCCTTTCCCCATTGACTGTCTGACAGGGTGGGACATTTTAATTTTCTCTTTCCAATCATATGTCCCACCTGGTGGAACTTATGAGTAGCATGCAAGTTTGACGATTGTATGGCTCACCCAGGGACATAACGTTATCGGATAAAGGCGACTTGAAAAACAAACGCACCCATGAAGTGATTTCTATAAATAAATTTGGCAAATTTAGTGAACGACCTTGAAATCTTATCCGTGTCGAAAGGGTTAACTAATTTTGCCTATAATAATCAATTTGACACCACAATTTACTCGTTAGTGAATATAACACAAGGTGGATTCCTCAAGGGCATTCAAATTATAGCCTTTTAAAAATGTTGGTGAGATACATCACTACTAAAATTAATGTTGACTGTGACAGATTAAGTATTTCCATGAATGGCAGAATTCAGGAAAGAAAAAGTGGGAATTGTGCCTTATGTGGAAATTTGACTGTTCCTTGTAAATCTGGCTTTCTGGAGTTGATGTGAGGTGTAAATCAGTGCCCTTTGGACTTTGACATATTGTCAATGACTTGGGAAGAACCGCAAACTAGTATTCTATAAATTACAGACACATTGCATAGATTTTAGCGGAAACTGATGATTATATGGTATTGGTGAGACATTGTACTAATGCAGCTAATGTTGGTACTCTTGTCAATGGAGATCTTGACTTGAGAAAGGTTTTGGCAGACAACCATGGTTTGTATGAATAGCCAATGCACTAATACAGGAAGCTTGTATAACTGAGCAGGAGGCACGTTTGTCATGGTGCCAACCTCCGTTTGAAGAAGCTGGCATTAAGACTGATGTGACATTCTACTTGCTGCCACACACCCAGCTGAATGGGTTGCTATGTTGGGGAAAGGGGCAGACATGCAAAACTACAGAATTACTGTATTCTGATGTATTTAGTGACAACATGGAGCTGTTTATATGTTGATTAAAAATGCAGCTTCTTAGTTAGATAGGGTTTCACTCGTTATAATCATATGCACATGCTGTGCTTGAATTTTCACGCAAGAACATAGCACCTATTATAATGCAGGCAAAAACTATACAATATGAAATGTGTGACATTTGACAAATTTGATCAGGCCAGCAGGGTTTAAATTAAATGAACAGTAATAGTGGTAAAAATACTACCTGATCACATGCTTTACTGATTTCCTGGCTGACAATAATATATGACCTTTGACATGTGTCAGATAGTGACATATACAAAATAAGCACTTGGGGTTATGCAGTAAATTGCAAAGAATTGACAAGAATCAATTAATTTCTAAGTCATAAGAATCAGTTTCTCCAAACTTCCTTTTTTTCAGCTTTGGTATTTTGTGCTAACTCTCTTGATTCTTCTGAATTCCCAGTTTGGTGAATAAATGAAATTGTCTTCCATAAAGTCCTAAGTATATTCTGATAATCCTGTGCTTTATTAACAAATCAATGTATTTCAGATCATCATTAATTAGATGATGACAGAATTAAGTCATTTATCGTTCTTACTAATCTTAGACCACTATGCCATAACTGTTAGCATGTCTTCTTAGATTAGAGAGTATTTGCTTTATTTTAGAAAATTCACATGCAAATACAGTAGCACCCCTCAGTGTTGAAGGTATTCAATGGTTGTCTCTGCTTTGTGGTGGCCTGCTACTTTCTGCAATTGTACCTGCATTCTAAACTCTACAAACCTCCTTAGATATCTGCAAAAATGTGTTTCATCCATAAACAATTCACTCCAAATCCTTTTAATCCCCACCTGAGTGAATCAATCTATCTAGGAAATAAATGGGCGGATTGATTGGCTTCGGTATTGATTAAATGGCTTTTGATTTATACAAATCAATTCACTTATGGACACATTTTTGAACATGCCAAAACCTCAGAGGGCCTATTACTTGTATTTAGTTTGTAAACCACATAAATGTGCACAAGGGGATAGTTCCAGGTTGATCCCCCTTGATTGAACTACTTAATTTATTGCTGATTTGTCCCTCTGTAACATGTTTAGAACCCCCCTTACACTTTCTGATAAATATTGTTGCATATTATCTTGGTGATAAATAGCTTGACAATATAATTCTAGGTATCCCTAGAACAAAACACAGTATGATAATTTTGTTTAATAGATAAAAATAAATACTCTTTATGACCGAGAAATCAATAAACAATACATTTTCACATTTTATTAAAAAAAAAAAAAAACTCTCTGGATGCACTCCCTAATGAAATGTGCTGAATATACAGTACCTGTGTTGAAGGAACATGGTATCTTTGTTCTGATGGGATATATTATCTTTTTATAAATCATCACATGGCTCCACCCTGGAAACTTGGTTGAGGGTTCTGGGAAAATAACTGAAAACAGGTATGTTTTATAGCAGACACAGATCTAAGACACAAGTCCTTTGTGAAAACAGGGAAAAAGAGTTCCTTTGGGACTCAGAACTAAGTGGCAGCTGAGTCCCATTCGACTTCTGTACTTAGTGTTCAGCTATGAATGCTTGAAAAAAAAAAAAAAACGTACAATAAGTCAACCTTACAACCAAGACACTGGAACAATTAACTTTGTAAGAAAACCATTGTTCATGGTAATGGCATTGCCTTTTCAAAATGGTAACATAAACACCTCGTTTAGCAATATTTATGGGCATGCTAGAGTGCTTTCATTCAATCCATAATTTGATAAAGCCTAATTCAATGCTAGTGTGTAGCCTCAAGACACATAACCTTTTAACCTCACCGGCAGTAAAGTGTTTACCTCTTCGCATTTCATAAAGCATTTTATAGGTCTCTATAAAGGATAAATGGAAAAAACTGTCCAAACCCAATAATCATACACACATCAAAGCGTTTCCTCAAAATAAATTGCTTTCATCTTTGATGCTTGATTCCCTTGGTGATTTTTATTTTTTATTTTATGTAACAACACTCTGTATATTTTTTATTTTCTAGAGCTCCAGCAGAATGACTTAACACCTCCAGAAAGATCTCACACATCTTTATATATTATATTTAGGAAGGAAATTATGTTTTTTTTATAACTTTTATAACATGTTGGTTCCTTCTTTTATTATTTACAAAATTAGATTCTATCTGTCTGTCTACTAACCTATCTTTGTACAAAATGTGGATTTTAGAATGGTAAAATAATGAGTCCATGTGATGCCATTACTATGAAGAAATTTGCCTGCAAATGTTCACTCTTTGCCTTCTTTTGAGGACAATCATGTTAAGTCTGGCTCTCTAAATCCAGTAATAGTTTTCAATATTTTATAAAATATTTTACCAGGAAGGATACATTGAGATTTCTCTCATTTGGGTGTGGGTAGTTTGAGATGCTATGTATATATAATGAAAACGTGTGTTCTGCTTAGGGTCCCAACAGTAGTCCACTTATGTCTGCTTCATCGTGACTTTAATATTGGGTTGATATATATTTGGCCAGGCTTCCTTCCATCGCATTTTTTCCTACAACCATACTACCAATGATAATAGGTGAGGTATAACATTTACACTTTTGAGTTTTTTTAATATAATGGTAATTCTAATAATTCCTTTTTCCCTCACCAAACATTTCTCTACATTTATGTGAATCATTCTGAAGAATTGGGTTGCCAAAAATCACTCACATTTTTATAAGTAGTGTAGGGATGCAACCCGTGCTCAATCACTAACATCTCCTAAGGTGGTCAGCTCTGCTGATAGGTTACCATGAATCAGTGGAGGAAGTTTGGCACACTTTGAGATAATGCTGGGTGCAAGGTCTCAGGGTCCCTTCCAATCCTAGAAATCCAAATAAATATAATAATTGACTAAGAACTCTGGTTATGGGTCTGTTACCTACTAATATACTTACAGTTGGTGTTGTCACATTGATGATTTCTAATCAGCTTTGGCGATGCTAACAGTTAATTGTGCCATATCCCTATAAATACATAAAACCTGTAGTTGAGGTTCCTAACTTTAATCAATATAACTACTTGATTATTCAAATCTGTTTACATTATATTGTTGTAGCGTGTACTGTATATACTATGGAAATGGATATTTTCAGAAAAGCTGAAGAGTCTTAATGGATTCGACTCCAAAGGTAGTTTTGCATTAAGGAAACCAAATAGAGTCTGCTACCATGCATGGAGCACCATGGAAAGGAATCTGCAGTCCCTTAGAAGTATTAAAAATCAAATTCCAAAGGCTTCACATAGTAGTGCGATTAGAAAGGAGTTATATACAGGGTTAAAGGAACAGTATAGCATCAGGAACAAATGTGTATTCCTGAGCTATAGTGTTAAAAACACTATTTAGGTACACACCATTCTTTACCCCTTAAAAAGAGTAAAACCTTACCTTTATTCCAGCACTACGCATGTAAACCGGCACTTGCTCCACCTATGTTGTGCTCCTTTGCCTGAACTCATCAGAATTGATGATCTCAGCCAATTCAATGCTTTTCCACAGGAAAACAGTAGGAGGCTAATGTGCACTCGTAGCAAAATGCAGCGCCGCACCAATCAGTATCACCTCAAAGAGTGGCATTGAACCAATGCATCACTATAGGGAAAGTTCATCACATCCACAAAGAGCTTGGAGATGCTGAACGTCAGTGCTGACCCAGGAAGCACCTCTAGTGGACATCTGAGTGGCTGTCACTGGAGGTGTCTCTAGGCTGTAATGTAAACACTACCGTTTTCTATAATAAGGCATTGTTTATATGAAAATATAAGAAGGGACATTCTACAGACACCAACACAACTAAATTAAGCTGTAGTTGTTTTGGTGACTATATTGTTCATTTAAGGCTTGACTCCAAAACTTGTACATAAGTTTATTCTCCTGATCATGAATAAAACTTCCTTTTTTCACTACTCTGGGAAGTCTTTAGAATTTGATTTTGAAGTCTTAATGGATTAAAATACCATTACCCTATAGAAACTCAGTAAATGTGGACTTATGAATCGCTATTACATTCAAGCCATTGATTGAAATGAATAAAATAGATAGAATTTGTTTAGCAAAACGTTTCAGACATGTAGTGCAATTTTAGCAATATGCCGATGATTCAATTCATGACCATATAGTGAAAAGTTATGTTAAATTGCACAAATTATATAAATGTATTCCCCTGATGCAAATGCAAAAGGTAATCAAGAGAAGATTACGTAATGCAGTGAGTGACTAATGAGTTACAGAAAAAAAAAAATGATTGCTACGTAGTTTGTTGGGAAAAGTCTGTTTGCTCGGAAAAAAAAAACACACACACAAAAAAAATGCATTACATCAATTATCAGTGGAATATTAGTCAGTTTACAGGAAACATCTAATGCAGCATTCGTGATTCAAGTGGAGCTTGATTGCTCTTTTTCAAATTACGCATTAAACAACCAGATGTGATAGAAGTCTATGTTCAGTTTGCGTACCGCTTATACTTAATGAACTTCATTTAAAATTATCTTTAGTAGCACAAATAGATGAGACTTTTTTTTTTGTAAAATTAGTTTAACATACAAAATAATGCAACACCTGCATTTCATTAAAAGAGCAGCGGTAAACTATAACTGTAAAATGAACAATAATAAAATATACACTCCGTATAGATGAGAGCTTCCTGTTTAACAGCAATTTTCACATCTTTACTGTACATATTGGAATGTAATAAAAACATTCCAAATGAATGTTGTAAAAAAACTTTTTGGGACTTAAATTAAAATTGCAAATGTTTTTCAAATAAAAATGTGAAGTATTTTGTAAAGAAAAAAAACTTTTTGAAATCTTAAACATGTTTTTTGGGGATGTGTAAAGTAAAAAAAAAGAAAAAAAATGTTCTCCTTTCTCTCTGTTTACTGTTGGAATCATGTAGGTGTTTTAGAACTGAAGGAAGACACGATCGAGAGTTTACTGTCCGCAGCCTGTCTTCTCCAGCTCTCACAAGTGATCGAGGTCTGCTGTAATTTCCTGATGAAGCAGCTTCATCCATCCAACTGTCTAGGCATTCGATCGTTTGGAGATGCACAAGGCTGTATGGAACTCCTGAGAGTTGCACACAGCTATACAATGGTAAGATATTTCAGCAACAGAGAAGCATAACAAGAACTAATTTATAAAAAAATTAATTATGTATGATTTTTTATTACATAATTCAAATGGTATCTAGCTTGAGCTATTGTAAAATATAGTGATAAAGGTTGTTTCAATACTTTGTTTATTACATAGCTTGCGCATAAATAGCAATTTAATCATAGCAATCTTAATATATGACTTATTTATAGTGTATATATTTTATTTCTTGTATTTTTAGATATTATGGGAAGTCAGCATCAAGTCTAACATTCATCAAGTGTAACTTCTGAAAATTACTACTAACAGTGTGTGTCGATAATTACATTGGACACTGTAGGTATAAAAACAAAGGAGAATTTAGCACTTGTAAAATAGTGATACAATTTAAAAAGCAGCTTAATCACCAGATCTGGGGACTCTCTAGTCCGGTAGAAAAGGAGACAAAACAGAAGGGTTGATGCAGCGCCTAACTTGTCCTTGCAAATTTTTGTAGTGACAAAGAAAGGCTAATTGTGTATTACGTAAAATACAATAAAATAAAATAAAAATATTTTCCACTAACACTTTTTGGGAGCTCCAACTTAAATGCTTGGGTGTAATCTCTGCCTATTATAGAGCCTAAATGTTGGCTCCACAAGTATAGCGTGGAGTCATATGATCCTCACTTTAGGATATAGTTGATGATAGTATCTCTCCGTATGTGAACATAAAAGAGAAATAATACCACAATAGTATAGTGCATGGAGCTTAACGCTGTCTCGCCATTCAGTGTTAAACTATTTTCAAGCAGTTTAAGACTAAATACGTGTCGATGGCCACCCAGAGCCAGATCCCTACTAGAGGCATGGCTAACACATATTACACACTTCCTTTTAATCATACCAATTAATCAGCAATGGCTGCTGTGATAGGCTGAATGTGGTCAGCTGACAGCGTAGCCAATCACAGCTACCCATTGCTGCTCATAGCAATACTTTCTCATTAGACCAAGCAGAACATAAAGAAATGACTCTTAGTTAGCATTAAACATTAAAAACAGTTTAACACTAAGTAGAAGGATGGTGTCACAATGTGATGAAACAGTTACAGTGCCTATTGTGTCCATTTAAAATTAAAGTGTACTTGTTGTACCTTATACTTGTAACTTGGGGTAGGGAATAAAGGAATTGTATGACAGACATACTTTACTCAGATGCTGGCATGTTGGAAAGGAAGTCTACTTGTTGGCTTCAAAAAGAAGGGTATGCCATTTTAAGATGTTGGCTGGATTTACCAGTGACCTAATGTGCTTTGTTTTTTTTTTTTTCTCTAAAACGAACTGTAAAAAAAAAACTTTACGATAAAGGTTATGAAATAGGAAAAGGAACAAGATTCAGCTAGAAAGATTTTCCCAGGAAACCCTTTGTAAAATAATATTTATGAAGCCCTGGTGTATTCATTCACATTTAATGGTTCAAATACACATGTGCAACTCACAGATACAAGTCATAAAATGAAATAATTCTAGTACCCTGAGATTTAACATTTGACATAATAAATAACCCAATATATATGCAGTTAGGATTTCTGCTTCCAGAGATGTGCTATAGCTATTTGTAACATACTGTGACCTAATTCTTATTTAACATTGCGGAATGTTAATGTATCGTTGCATTTGTAGAAAGTACAGGAGACACAGAAAGTAAAAACGGTGTGACCATTACAGTGCCACTCAACACATAAATGTTTGTCTTTCAAGGCACATCCTGCTCCCTGTATTGACCTATAGTGCATAATAGAAACAGGAAGTTAAATCCATTTAGATGGATGTAAATAGCAGCGTATTTGTCAATGTGAGCCTCATCTGACTGTGAGAGATAGCATACAGGATGCTGTTAATGAATCTTCAGAAGAGGATCTACAGTGTTTATTTGTTTAAGATTACCGGCTGGATGTTTTTACTGGCTATTCATAAAAAATAATTGTAAAATAGTTTAAAAACAGAGCTTTATTAACCCCAGACCATGAACTATATTTTAGTTGATTTACCAGACAAGATAATGTATTTAATTTCATTTAAATAGTGTCTTATGTATATGTGATGGTACTGACTATTGATTGTTTAAATTAAATGGACAGTTATATTTCCTTATTGAGAAACATGATTACATTTTATGCACTTAGCTATAGGTGCAATTTACTGTAATGATTTCAATAATGTTTAAAATTCCTATTTCTTTGAATAGTATATTTCTGTATATTTTCAATTACATACGTAAAATGCAGAGTGAATTTGGCATTTTTCTAAGCCAAATGAGGATTTGGTTACAGAATGTGTTTCTCCCATTAAAATAATTGCAAAGTATCCCTTGTTAGACTTCTTGTTAGATGGTGAGAAAATTCAATTTGGCCAAGCAATTTTTGCTGAAAATTAGAAAATCTTTCGAGTGGTGGGTTTAGGAGAGATTACTTAGAGTAGGTAATGTATAGAACACTGCATTTAGAGGGTTAATTACTAAACTGAGAATTCAAAGTAAATTCATAGAAACATAGAATGTGACGGCAAATAAGAACCATTCGGCCCATCTAGTCTGCTCAATTTTCTAAATACTTTCATTAGTCCCTGGCCTTATGTTATAGCTATGATAGCCTTTTGCTTATCCCATGCATGCTTAAACTCCTTTACTGTGTTAACCTCTACCACTTCAGCTGGAAGGCTATTTCATGCATCCACTACCCTCTAACTAACCTTTCAGTCAATTTTGGCAGAATGTCTGTACGGAAAATCTAATTTGGAAACAAATGAGACAAAATGAGACAATGCAAGGGGCGCAAAACTGGGCATTCAGTGTACTGCTACATATATACATAAAATGTTATATATATATATATATATATATATTTTTATTTTTTTATTTTTTTTCCTCTCAACATCTTAACATTTTGTGGCTTTCCTCTAGCCATTTGTCATCGTTTTCCCATATATTTTTTGACACCAATCACGAATCAAAACTAGCATGTTTACCTGTTGCGTAATTTAGTTGGTTTGTGATTAAACTACACTTCAATTCAGGAATTCATACGATCACCCAACTGACACAATTTCAGACAGACAAATTGTAGCTCAGAATGAAATGGATTTATTTAATAATGTTTTAACATTTTTGTGAAAAACTTAACATTAGTATTACTTTCTGAAACATTATTTTTACTCTTCAAATGTCATTTGGATAAAACATTGCAAGCTTTAAAATATCATGCCATTTGAAGAATGCCAAAGTCCATAGTGACTTACAGAGACGGCAGCAAAAATGATAATGCTTCAAAATCATCACCAATACCTAAAAAAAGGATATAGCAATCAATATGATGTTTTAAGATTGATGGATAGGCAAGTTTTTTCTTCTAGCACAGATTCTCAGATGAAAGGTAAATACAGGAAACCAGGTAGTGTCTGGAACACTTGAATCATGAAAGCCTCCACACTTGGCACATCCCTTTGCATACTAATGCTGAATAGGTCAAGGCTTTAGTAGTGAGTAATCCAGAAGATGAAGGTAGATAACACTGGATAAAAGCTTGTTTTTTTGTGTTTTTAATTAGTAATATAGTCACAAATGGGTACATTGATTAGACAGCCATCAAAGAACACATAAACATTTAGACCGAATCAGATTTAACTGACATTCAAAAAGGGTAGTTGAAGGCAAGGAAGACGGGCATGTAGGATATTACACAATTAGAAGGGAAGGCAACAAAGTTAAAAAAAAAAACATGAAATAGTGGGGGGAAGTAGAGTGCTCATGTGAAGGGAGAGGTGCTTGTAAGGTCAAGGTCAACTGAGGTTAGGAAGAGGCGTGAAGTATGACAATTTATTAAATGTTTTTGTAAATAGATGGGTAATGTATTTATTTAACATGTCTGTCTATGAATACTTTAATATCTAAGTATTATACAACTAAATAAAGGTAAATAGCACAGAATAAAATTCGTAAAATCCACAGCCAAATTATTTTTAATATATGTTTATATTGGTATAACGCCCATTTGTGAAGTAGCACAGTTGAACCTCGGAACTGGAATGCTCCCATACCTGAACAATTCGGTATTCAAACATAAAATTTGAGAAAAAAATGTCATGGCACTTAAACAAAACTCTGTATTAGAACAAAATCACATGGCATTAACCTCGTTGGTAACTAGTGATGTCGCGAACCGTTCGCGAACTTGCCGCGAACGGTTCGCCGCGGTTCACGGCGAACTCCGGTCAGCTGACACATCCCTGCCAATCTCCGGCAGACCCTCCCTCCCAGATCCTCCCACCTCCTGGACAGCATCCATGTTGAAGCTGCCTTCAACATGGATGCTGTCCAGGAAGTAGAGGGTCTGGGAGGGAGGGTCTGCCGGAGATTGGCAGGGATGTGTCAGCTGACCAGAGTTCGCCACGAACGGTTCGTGGCGAACCGCGGCAAGTTCGCGAACGGTTCGCGACATCACTATTGGTAACTCGTTGGAACCTCGTTGGTATGCTGCATTGGCCTCCTAGCACTAAACAAAGTGAACAGAGCTCCATTTTGTCTGCGAATAGAGCTCCATTCTGTCAGCAAACAGGGCTGACAGGTAAAGTGAAGTTACATTTTAATTTCATTTCCATTATGTTTACTGTTTTTCTGTATGATTTTATGCATGCAAAACTGTAACATTTGTGTTAATATGTCGTAATGTTGGGGTCTGGAACAAATTAATCTAATTTACATTAATTCTTAGGAAAATTTTGCTTCAGTTTTCAAACAAAACGGTCCTCAAACAGCCTTCTGGAACGGATTAAGTTCGAGTTCCGAGGCTCCACTGTATATATCTTGTTTTAACTTTACCTAACATTTCCAAATGTTTAATTTGCAGTAAATCTGCACGAACGCATTTATCCCTGATTTGGCAACAAGACGATAGATCTTTGACCAAAGTAAATGTGATGTACATTTTTTCTTTTCCTTCTCTTTTTCTTCTTTTTTCTTTTTCTTTCCATTCATTTCCCTTCTTATTCATAAATCTCTCTATAGAGATAGAACATATAGTTTTTCATTTATGAGCAAATATATTCATGGACATATAAGTGAAACCTTATAAAACAGCATTTGGCACCGTAAAATGAGAATACATTGTGTTCAGTTGTGAAACAAGATGTTTATACAACAATTCAAAATGAACATGAATATGATTTATATACATTCATGTTTTCAAAGGCATTGCAGTGACAGTAAATAAATCACATTGGTGTACAAGTGCACAATGTTGTATGGCTCCAATGTATCATCTATAATACACGACATTAGGCATCTGACATGCAATTTGTTAAGAACTGGCTGGCACCTTAAGTCTGGATGCCTCACAACAACTCAGGCAATAACATTTTCAAAAAAAGATGTGACAGAGCAAGATTGGAGTGAAGTTGGTCATATTTATATTCTCGCTGTCTCTCTTAAAACAGAACAGTGTAAAAAGTACGTATAAACATTTAATGTTACCAGCTGCAAGACCTGGTGTTGACACAATCGCACAATTTGAGGTTTAAATACTATTATAAGATACAGGATGGGCCAAAAGGAAGAGTAGGATTTGACAGGTCAATAACTCATTTGTTAGTAGTTTCATTTTTTTTTTTTGTAAGTACAAATTGTGAGATTCATTATGGGTAATTTCACAAAGGATTAATGAGTAAAAATAGTGTAATTTTATTTTCAAATTAATTGGCCACCACATTCGCCCAACCTTTCAGCTAATGATTACTTCCTGTGGGAATATCTGAGGGAGCATGTGTACGTGATCAAACTGTGTACACTTGAGCAGCTCAAGAAGAATACCCATGCAGAAATTTGAGTGCTAGAGCCTCAAACATTACCTAATATTTATGAACAATGCAATTGATAGAGCCCACGTGGGAGGTGGCACATGGAGCTCATTTAAAATATGTCATTTTCTGTACCTAGTCAAACATATCTCCATACGTTAAGAGTATGTTAAGTCATTGTATGTAATATCATTGGAAGTGGTTCATTAATAAAAAAAGTTATTGACTTCTCAAACCCTACTCTGAATTTTCGCCCAGCCTATATAAACATAGGTTTGGTAATGGAACAGCAATTTTTACAATATATTTAAATGGAAGAACCGATATTCAGTTACCAGAGTTAAGTTGTTATAAAATCAAGAAAATGATGTAATATCACATATAAATATAGGTATATATGCATACATGTGCACATTGCTTCAGTCCATCTTTTTTTGTTGTTGATTATTTTTAGCACTTATATGAAAATATGGGGATATTTTGAAATCTGAGGTCAGAGGATCTGTGCCTCTGGTGGACAGATCATTTTCTTTAGCTGATGTTAATTTGCTCTATTACAGACAGATGATATCGGAAAGCAACAAAAAGAAGTTTCTTGGTATGTTAAAAAGATAAGTCTGGAGGTGGGGCCTGACTCCCGAGAAGACCAGAAATGTTCCTCAGTAGCCCCAACATCTGAGAGCAAATTTTATTTTAATCTGCATTATAACATATTGGAATACGAGGAGAGAATACTGAAGCATGCTTAGCACCACTCAGCTATCTTTTACCTCATCTGGTCAAGCAGAATAACAAGGTTGGTGCCGGCGTCTGGGAGAGGCGGAAGATCTCTTGGCTCAGAGCAACCTTTTGCAGCAACCTCAGAGCAACCTTTTGCAGCCCCATTACCCCCCCTCATGGGCTGGTTGGGGATATTATGGTTCCCACTGGGGTACACAAGTCCTGAGGTAGAAATCTGTACAAGACCAAAATGGCTGCTGCATTGGAGACTCAGCAAAGCTGACCAAGCCTTGAGTACCAGCAGTGCAGAGATTTGTTTAATGCCAGGTTAGAAGCAATCTGCCAGGAGTTCTGGCATCATCTTAGCAACTGCCCCAAGATACATACCCATACTGCTGTACAGGTGCTAGCACAGCAGACCTCACTACCTGAACTTCTTCTGTGCTGGGTGCACCATCCAAGCAGAGTCCATACAACCATGAGGACGCTCACATTCATTATACCCTGTGGACTCAAGATCCTCTTTCCCAGAGAAGGAGGATCTATGGACATGAGGCACTCACCCCCTTTAAGGTCCACTGCCACAGCTACGGGGAAGTTTGTCGCTATAGTCTACCATATGTGCAACAAGGCATCCTGCTGACCCTCAATAGTCTGGTGAAAGTGAAGGAGATCAATGGTCGTGGCGGGGAGATGGTCTTTAGAACATGGCCCATTTGTGGTATTAGTATAAATACAAGAGTAAAAACTATTGCAGCTCATGTGGATTGAAGGGAGTGGGTATATATAGTAAAGTTAAATGGGATTAGGGATAAAAAGCCAATGGAGTAAAAAGAGGGATCAGTCCACTAAACAGTGGATTATGTCCAATGAATACAATGTCTCAAATAGTTCAATTCTGTAGAATATCAGTTCAAGCCCAAATATAAATAGTGCAGCAATGGATTAATAAAGGACTTGTGTTATCGGAAAAAATAAAAATGAGTCAATGAAGTCCTTTTCCACAAAATATCAGACTGTATTACATAGAAACATAGAATGTGACGGCAGATAAGAACCATTCGGCCCATCTTGTCTGCCCAATTTTTTAAATACCTTCATTATTCCCTGGCCTTATCTTACAGTTAGGATAGCCTTATGCATATACTATGCATGCTTAAACTCCTTTACTGTGTTAACCTCTACCTCTTCAGCTGGAAGGCTATTCTATGCATCCATTACCCTCTCAGTAGAGATGTCGAGAATCGTCCGCGAACTTCCCGTGAACGGTTCGCCACGAACCGTTCGCGGAGAACTCCGGTCAGCTGACACATCCCGGCCAATCTCCAGCAGACCCTCCCTCCCAGACCCTCCTACTTCCTGGACAGCATCC